AACTTGAAATCACTTGACTACATACAGCTGACCTCTATTTATGTGACTTTGCACAGCGATGATTTAGGTGTGCCCTATAAAAGTGGAAGTTAAGTAAATATTGGCTAGGGTGTAGGGAGTTTTGGCAGATGGCAGAAGTCTATTCTGCCAAAAGAACTTCCCATTTTTTTCCCCCCTGTGCACACAGTATAGTGCATACATCGTGCACTGTACACTCTCAGCATCTCTAAAGGTAATTTTATTTTACAGCCTCCTTTCATTTTGCAGGTAATGATGCAGAATGCTGATACTGTGTATGAAATGCATGTAATAGAGTTTTATTGGTGCACAATCTTTATGGGACATATTTAAGGAAACATATTTTATAACTTGTTTGAATGTCTGACTCATTATAGATGGAGTAATCTCAAAGAGCCCAAAGTGCACGTGTCTGCCATAATCATTACGGTTTCTCTGTGAAACATCCGTACTTTAATCACACAATGTGTAATATCTTTTCAGATGCTGTATAACAATTTGCTGTGCAAAATATGGTTGTTGAAATGCAACTTTATATTATGCAATATAACATTCAGATAAAGAGAAATCATGGATTGTTGACTTTTTGTTGTCTGATTTTGATGACCATTTGGTTGTGTTTCCTCCCCACTCCGCCATTTTCATTGGTGCAATTTAGGGGTGTTAAGCATGAATGGTAACGCACATGTGCAAGTGTGAATGGGCCCATGTGGGTCTTTTTTGCACCAGTCTGCCACACAGATTTGAACAAGTTACACAGGGAATAATGGGATTTCTACTTGAAATGCATTTTAATTTTTTGTTGAATTAAAATAAAAAAGTGTGAAAAGGCTTTAACATGGAAATAAAAACTCCTGCCCTCATAGGATCATTGACCATGATTGCCTGTCATTACAACTTCTGGAAAAAGCTAGCGTCCTAGCAGTTATGCTGACCCTCACTCCAGGTTTCTTTTATTTATTTTTCCTTGGTGCATATTTCCTTTAAAAAAGTTTCTTAAGCCAATAGCTGCTAATTAATGCTGCTGTTGCTAGTGAGCTGCAATGTGTGTGGGTTTTTTTTTTCTGCTTGGTGACCCAGCCATTAAACTTCCAGATCCGTACTAGATTTCTGGCATTGTAAAGTGTTGTTGTTTTTTTTTTAAGAGAATCCTCCATTCTCCCCCTAGCACAGCACTGTCAGTTCTTGGACTGAGCATCCATTCAAAATATGCTGCTCAGTGCAGAGTATCAGCTTGAGGTGGGGTAGGCTGGAACTTTGGCCGTGAGGGAGCTCCATCCATACATGTATTGCTTATAGCTCCTTCACATGCCCTGTAGAGGTGCTGGGGCGACGTCACATTCTGCCTACCGGAACCTCTACAGGGTGGGCAAGGAGCTGTACAAAAAAAAAATTATTAAAAATTAAAATGCATATGGATGGAGCTCGGTTACAACACAGCAGCCGACACTGGACCCCAGGCTGAGGATCCACTCCAGCTCTTCTAAGGGAGGGAGACTGCGTGGATCTTAGAAATAAAAAAAGTGTCAGTTTTTTTGAGGGCCCGTTTCACAATAGTACAGTCCTGTGCAATTAACGTACTGTACCGCATAATCGCATCTACTGCGGATTCCGGTGTAGGAGGTGTTGCGATTTATTCGAATGGCACCCCTAGCGCACCTCCTGCTCACAGTTCAATTGCCTGCACCTGAATGCATGGTACCGCAATGCTGTGCATTCCAGTGCGACTTTACATACTTTAAAGCGGTGGTTCTCAATCTGTGTAACTTCAGGACCCACATTTGTCCTCGGTCATTAAGGCGCGACCCAAGTTACACTACAATGGAAGGCACAGCATTAGGGTACCAGAGTTCCGGTGCGGGCATACGAACTGTGGGTGGGAGGTGCATTTGGGGTACCATTCAAATGAATGGCAACGCAACACCTCCCGCACCAGAATGCACAGTAGGTGCAATTATGTGTTACTATCCGATTTAACGCACTGTACTCGTGTGAACGGGCCTTCCAAAAACACTGACATACATGCACAGCCACAGACAGACATTCTCACACACACACTCAAACTGGTTTTATTTTATTTTTTTTAAGATCCACCCAGTTTCCCTACCTTTTTATGAGAACTGGAGCTGATCCTCAGCCTGCGATCCAGTGTGGGCTGCTGTGCTGTGACGGAGCTCCAACCATATGTGCATCGCTGGTACAGCTCTGTTGTGCACCCTGTAGAGGGACCGGGAGCCAGAATGTGATGTCACTCCGGTCCAGGCACCTCTATAGGACATGTGAGGGAGCTGTAAGCAATGCACATACGGATGGAGCTCCCTCACAGCTATAGCCCCATCCCATCTTAAGTTGGCACCAGGCAGCATATTTTGAATGGCTGCTTGCTGTGAGAACTGACAGTGCTGCGCTAGGGGAGGCTGAGGAGCCTCAAACCTAGAAAAGTGGAAGGCACGTGGCGACCCACTGACCACGGGGTTCGCAACCCACTTTTTGGGGTTACGGCCCACCAGTTGAGAACAAGGCTTTAAAGTACCTACAGGTGTTCAAAGGCAGTCAATAATGCGTATGCTATTCAGCCCATACATGATCTTTATGGAAAGCTTATTTCAACCTCCACGGTCAAATTTCAGAAGTGCTCAACTATATGTTGGTGCTCCTGTTCGCACAGCATACCAAAAAATGTATATATTTTTTTATTTTAGTTGTTTCACTGAAGCAGGAAAATACATAGGACTCTATAGGTAGAATAGCTTGCCTAATGCAATTAGGGAACAGAGTGAGGGACAGTTTTTGGTTTCAAGTGGATTAACATGAACCTTGGAATCTTTAACCCTTTTTGGTTAGGACAGTGTACACATCTAGTTTACAACTGATAAAGATCTGCCTGCACAGTACAGGGGAATTACAATTAAGGGGAAAGCAAAGTAAACATTTTCAGTGAATAAAAAAGTAAACTTTTTTTTGTTCTATAAAGTAGCTGTTATCCAAATTTGATTGCAAATGTGGAAATACACTTTACGCATGCAGGTTTACATCTGTAGTATGTGCATGCTCAGGAGTGCTTTAAAGTTCTCATCCGAAGCCAAACAAGGACAGCTCCTTCTGCATTAAGTAAACGTATTCTTTTCCCTTTTTAAATATTTAATATACTTCCAATCAATCCCCCAGCACTGTCATAGACATGAAACATCTTCCTGCTGAAGACTGTGTGGCTGGGACGGTGTTTATGTCCCCTATTGCGGGGCTGCATTTCTGGTAAAACTCATGCCACACTTCCTTTTTAAATGATGAAAGCTGTAAATGATTCTTGGCACAGCTAGGCAACATTCAGAACTACTGTATGAGAGATTAAGACTCCTTATTAAAACACCAAAAAGAAAGCTGCCATAGAAACAAGCCCACAGCAATGTTCCTTTCACAAGGAGTCAGGCATTTATTATGGGATACATCTTAATCTTTGCTTCAGTTTCTATACATCTGCTTATGTGATAGTGAGGTGGGCTAAAAGAAACCAAAAGGCCCCTATTAATTGGTGAGATACCAAGTAGAGTCTTCCCTAACAGAAGGTATATGCACAGATCCAAAAAAATGGTTTATTTTAGTATAGTGGGCAGAGCCATGTAAATCAATCCTTTATGCCCCTGTGGCCAATCTGCACATCCAGAACCGCTAGGTTATAGTACAGATACCGCCTAATATTATATTGTCATTTATTACAAACGGCAGACAGCTGTATACAGTTTGTACGGCTAGTTGGCCATTGTCAGCGCATTGTATGGAAATCATAGCCTCTATGGAGAGGAGCTTATGGACTGACTTAATGACTTAACTAGACCCGTTCTGTTGAGGCGGGCGAAAAGGAACCAAAAGCCCCACCCCCCTTAATAAGTACATAGACAATAGAGCCTTCTGAAAACAGAAGGTATTTGCAGGTCTCACTTCCATTACAGATAGTAACATAGTAGGTGAGATTGAATAAAGACAAGGGTCCATCCAGTTCAACCTATGTGTGTATTATCTTGCTCTAACACTTCCCATATCCCTGTAAATTAAGTGAAATAAAGAAACTCGTCAAGAGGTTTCTTGAATTTATCAATGCTCTCAGCGGAGACCACCGCCTGTGGAAGGGAATTCCACAATTTACTACTCACAGAAAAAAACAAAAAAAAAACCCCTTTGAATTCTGAGATTGAACCCCTTTTCCTCCAACCTTCGTGTTCTCAATACAGTTTTCGGATCAAAAAGTTTGTTCCGACTATTGTTGTCCCTATTAACAATTTTGAAGACTGCAATAAGGTCTCTTCGTAATTCCCTCTCTTCTAAGGTGAATACGTTTAATTGTTGAAGACGGTCCACATAACTCAGGCCTTCAATCCCATTAATACATTTTGTAGCCCTTCGTTGAGCTCTATCCAGTTCCAGGACGTCTTTCCTGAGTGTTGGCGACCAAAACTGCACCGCATGCTCCAGATGAGGACGCATAATCTACAAAATCAGGAATTTCAGTACGCAAAGACTGACGGAAAACAGAAGAGATTTACTTACAAGCAGAGGAAAAGCCTTTAATTTTTTTCTTTGATCATTAACAAATGTACAAGTGGTTACATTTTAGGCTTTCTTTATAACAAAAAAAACTGTCCCCATAGAACAGCACCCAAGCGTTTTAAATGGGAGGGGTGTTAGGAGACAACAGAGAAAACATAGCTTCTCACCATTCCCCAACCGTCAAACATCTTGGCAACATACATTCTATGGACTTGAACAAATCTTCTCATTCACTTCCACCTTCAAAGGACTTGCTCATTAGAGAGGGTGGATGTAGTGCTTAGCATTACATTCAGTTTGGTAGAGAAGATCTGTTCCCCAACAACCACATCCTCATGAATTGCGACCACAAGCGCAAACCCCGCCGTCTTCGCTGAAATATCAATCTACAAAACATCAATGTTCTCTTCTTCAATCCACAGAGCCAACTTGTTTTTTTTTTATTTACATCTTGTCATGTATTTATTTTATCGTCTCTTTTTCATGTTCTTTGGATTATATCTGTAATAAGAAAATACAGAGACAAGTTATATGTTGTCTGTCCATGCATTAACCAATGCACTGCCAGGCTCAGGATTTCACTTTGTACCTCATGTAGCCGAATCAATATTTCACAGTCACATTACAGCCTTGGGTTAATCAAATTATTATTTTCATTAAAATGCACCAAAATAGTTATTTGTGCACACAAACAAATAATAAGAAACATGTCACTTTACAAATGTGTGTTTTCTGAAAGAGTGAAACTAAAGGACATAAAACTGTCCAATAAGCGACTTAGGCTGGCCATATACCAGTCATCATAATACACGAACAGTGACTGCAGCTGATTGATCACACACTGCTTGAATTTCGGGCAAGTCAGCAGGTCTCAGTTGAAATGTGGGCAGTGTATGGCCAGCTTTACTCTAATAAAACCTTTACTGCTTTATCTACTTACTGTAATACCAAAACTAAGCCTCTGAAATAATTCCTAAACCTCTAAGTTGAGTGGGGATACCCGATATGTGTAGTGCAATAGAGGACTAATGTATACCTGTGCGTCACAGTAATGTATATATGTACGGGGGTGGGGGGGTTGTGCACCAACAAGCCCTCTGGTGACAGTATATAAGAAAAATTCCTCTTTATAGTTACAGTGAGGGTCTCAACAGAAAGCTTAGTGCTGGAGAAAGAAGCAAAGTGACACAAAGTCCCCTATCTCCATCAGCACACCACATGGCAGTAGCACTGAACCCGGAAGAACTTGTTACTGAGCACTTCAGAGCTCAATTTTGCACAAATTTGAAACGGGGAATATAAATCACCTCACCTCTCTCTATCCTGGCTCAAGGAGCCATAGATGACAGGAAAGAAGGCATAGTGCCAGTCTCATCACCAGCATTGATGTTGGTGGGGGCGCCAATATTTGCATGTTTAGGAGAGACTGCCCGACACATTGCCTTCTGGATCATTTCTACAGACAGGGAAGAGGCATTAAAATAGTTTAATTGCCATGACTTTTTCTATATATGACTGGCCCTCTACAAAAAGATTAGCTATGACTTGATTTTTTGATGCCTCATGTTGATTTGATCTTTTCTTTCTTGGCTTCCCACTAATGATTCAGACTAAAATTTAAGACAGCGAATCCTAAAAAGAGGAAGCGGCCTTGTGACAGATTTCCTCATGTGCCTGTTGCATCAAAGCTAGATTGGATCGTGCAGTGAGGAATGGCTCCATGTCAGAGACCACTACGTATCGGCAGTAACAAAGGACTTGGCAGTGGAAATTTTGAAAGTGCTTTCTTTTTATATATCAACCTGTTCTCATTCTAACAACATTAACATCTTCTTTAAGTCCTCTTGATAGTTACAGTGGGGGTCTCAACAGAAAGCTTAGTGCTGGAGAAAGAAGCAAAGTGACACAAATTCCCCTATCTCCATCAGCACACCACATGGCAGTAGCACTGAACCCGGAAGAACTTGTTACTGAGCACTTCAGAGCTCAATTTTGCACAAATTTGAAATATAAGTCACCTCATCTCTCTCTATCCTGGCTCAAGGAGCCAGAGATGACAGGAAAGAAGGCATAGTGCCAGTCTCATCACCAGCATTGATGTTGGTGGGGGCGCCAATATTTGCATGTTTAGGAGAGACTGCCCGACACATTGCCTTCTGGATCATTTCTACAGACAGGGAAGAGGCATTAAAATAGTTTAATTGCCATGACTTTTTCTATATATGACTGGCCCTCTACAAAAAGATTAGCTATGACTTGATTTTTTGATGCCTCATGTTGATTTGATCTTTTCTTTCTTGGCTTCCCACTAATGATTCAGACTAAAATTTAAGACAGCGAATCCTAAAAAGAGGAAGCGGCCTTGTGACAGATTTCCTCATGTGCCTGTTGCATCAAAGCTAGATTGGATCGTGCAGTGAGGAATGGCTCCATGTCAGAGACCACTACGTATCGGCAGTAACAAAGGACTTGGCAGTGGAAATTTTGAAAGTGCTTTCTTTTTATATATCAACCTGTTCTCATTCTAACAACATTAACATCTTCTTTAAAATAAAACTGTGCCCCAGATCATGGAAACACCAATCGATATTTTATTGACAATGAATGAACATACGGCCCCTGATCATAGTAGTTAACTGCTCAAAATCTTGAAGCAGTTTGCGAGTCATGCCTGAGGCTCAGTCTTACAATGCATCATGGGATTTGTAGTTTCACCACAGTTGGAATGCTGACGCTGCCTACCTGGTCCCAGATTAAATGCCTGCACAGTTTCAGAGTCGGGGAGAAATTGGCCGAGAGTTATTTTTATGCATGCTAAATTATTGCATGCTTTCTACTTTTTATTTATACTCAAAATGTAACTGTGCTGCGTAAAGTATAGAGCAGGCACTTTATTATAGAGGTGCATCGAAATAAAAAAAAATGTCAAGCTGTCTCCGCCCACACTGCTTTCCTCTGATCTGTGACAGGAGGCTGAGCGGTGTGGGAGGCGAGACGCCGGCCGCTCACAGCGCTCTCCTCCCGCAGCGTTCGGCTGCCTGTGACAGTTTCTCTCCTCCCGCTGGGACACAGAGCAGCGCTCAGCAGGGAGGAGAGAAACCAGGGATGCACCGCTGTATCGGCCAGAAAATGGCACTTTCGGCATCATGCCAAGTGCCATTTTCGGCAGATATGTTTCGGCGGCCGATATATCGGTGCATCCCTACTTTATTACAATGACTGCCCCGTCCTCCCTGAATATTCTATACAAAATTTGGTATTTGTATGGGGCTTGTTCTCCCCCACATGACAGTGCCCAGGCCTGGCAATAACCCGATCATACCTGGAAATACTGCTACCTCCCTTTTATTCCCCCCAAAGAGGTGCTGAAAAAAGCAACAGCAATGCAACACTTACACTAAACATTATATTGAAAATAAAACTAAATTAATGGTATAAAAAATCCTCCGTGTAAAATTGTAATCACTGCTGAAAAATATTTGCATGTGCTTGAGTTATACTAACGTAACCCGACATTTTCAGTCTCCTCAATTCCGTTTACTGAACCCTATTTGTTTAGGCCGGGAAATGCTGCAGCCAAATTGCATCATCACTTAGTTGAGAATATAATTGCAGATGGCTGCTGTTTCCAGGCAACTCCTGATTATCCTTCATAGAAGACAGGAAAGAAAAAAAAAAGCACACAAGCGACTGAAAATAACATGAAGACCAGCTCCCCCAGGGCTCTGACAAACACCCTAAGAGTACACAGTGCTCAGCTCTGTGCCTAGGGAAACACATACGTCTTTGCTGCTTTCCAGCTCATATAGACACTCAATATCCTTTATAGGAAGCCCAATCATACAGGTTGGCTCTGATATGCAGGTAGAGAGAGAAGCCTTCCTATCAGGGGCTTCTGTATTAATCCAGGCATAGCTGTAAGATACCACACTCCATTGGTTAGTTATCTGGGAACCCCTTCTCTGCAGTTTGCAATACAGTACAAGCATTCCCAAACACAGCCACTGCAGGCTCCTCTCCCATAAAGACAGCCTGATGTATCAAAGTGTCTGATGAAGTTCTAATACTTGCTTCATCACAGCCACCAACCACATTTAAGCTTGTCTTTGATAAGTGAATTTGTTTATAGCACTAATCAATAATCAAAGCAGATAATCGAGCAGAGAGAGAGAGAGAGAGAGAGAGAGGGGAACTTGCACAACACAGGCCCCAACACCCACTGCACATGTAAGGAACTCTCTAGAATCTGGCTTCAGCTGATTGTATGAGGTTAAAGCAATCCAGTACTAAGAACTCCAAAGACATGCTAGTAGGTTGTTTAGCTCCTGTCTAAATCGTCCCTGTATGCATGTATGTGAGATAGGGGGCAGGGGCTGATGTGAATGTGAAACTATGTAAAGGACTGTATAAATTCTCGGCGCTATATAAATACCTGTAATAAATAAAAAAAACAAAATGAGTGTGCGGTCCCTGCTGATCCCTTGAGAAGATACTAACCTGGGTGCTATGCTGATCTAATGGCTTCAATGTCAATGGAGTCAACAACATGGGAGCAGGTATTATTATACAGGATTTATATAGCGCCAACAGTTTGCTCAGCGCTTTACAATATAAGGAAGACATTACAATCACAATACAAATCAAGACAAGATAGTAAGGAGGGCCCTGCCCGTGAGGGCAGATTAGTAAGCAGGGCAGCAGTTCACATTACTTTATTAGCATAAAATAAGGCATTTTTATAAACAGCTTTACATTAAGCCTTCTGGTTACAAACTGTAATATATATCCCGAGGTAGAAAACTTAAAAGTGGCCCCTCTTGGTAAATCAGAAGCAGCCTGTGTAAGAACACTGAAATACTTGCCCTTCCACCAGGTGTGTGTGTGTGTGTGTGATGACCAGATCGGGAAATGCGGTGCATTGCGTTTTGCCACGATTTTACCGCGTTCTGGAGCAGTATTTTTAAGCTTAAAATGGCCTTTCAGGTGCGCTCCAGTGTGTTTGCATGCATTTTTTAATGCGTTTCCATGTGTTCCAGTCCATTTCAGACCAGAGAAAATAAAACAAGCAGTTTTTTTTTTGTCTTGTCCGGAATGGACTGCACTGGTTTGAACAGAGCCCAGAAATACACAGCTCATAAGGGAAGGGAAGATTAAAGGATAACTATGAAGTGAGTGATTTCCACTCATCCCCATAGTTAGAGCCGACCTGTGACAGAGAAGCTGTCACAGGTCGGCTCTATTGGTCGGGAAGTAAACGAATACATACCGTCGCTTGCTTACTTTCCGGATCGTCTCCCTGCAGAGAGCAGTGACTGTCAGTCACCGCTCCCTGCAGGGATACCCCCCTCCGATCCTCCAGTGCTGAGTGGAGGAACGAACGGGGAGGGGGCGGGCACAGCTGGCTCTGCCTCTAGACAGCTAGAGCCCGCTCTCAATCAGCTAGCTGGGTGGATCTTGGCAGTATTGTCGGGATTCGACCTAGCTGCGGCACTCTTAGTATATCGCGGGCAATAGCCCGCTATATGCTGAGCTTTGGGTCACGGGAGGAGGTTAGTATATGTCCTCCCGTGACCCTAAGGAGAAATACGGGGAAAAACACTGACCCCATAGTTCTCTTTTAATGCTTTGAAGTCACCTCACCTCCACATTATCGCTCAGCCTGGAGTTCATCTTTAAATGTCCTGCATGAAATGATCTTAAGCAGCATGCAGAAAAAGTTGTAATTCAAAGCATTAAAAGAGAACTATGGGCAGAACTTTTTTGGCAGTAGGTCTCTTTAGGGTCACAGAAGGACATTCACTAATGTGATCCAAAACTCAGCATATAATGGACTATTGCTCGCTATATGCTGAGAGCGCAGAGCCGTGCTGCAGCCAGGACGGATCCTGACAGTACTGTCGAGATCCACCCCACTACCTGATTGACAGCTGGCTCTGCTCTGACTCTCTAGAGCCAGCTGTGCCCGCAGTTGGTGATCACTCAGTTCCCAATCTATAAAGCCGGCGTGTGACAGCTTCAGTGTCACGCGTCGGCTCTGACCATGTAGAGGCGTGCATTTCACTCTCCGCATAGTTCTCCTTTAAGGGCTGAATTTTCATTATAACATTTCAAGCTGCTCAGAAGAGAGAATAGAAGAACTGAGACCTTTATTCCTATTCTTCAGCTACATAAAACCATCAACCAGGAATGGAAACCTTTTCACAAACTGTGAGTCCTCAGTGGCTGGAAAATGTTCCAATGTTCCTTATTCATAATGCTGACTATTTTAATGTCACTTGAGTACTATAACGCATATGTAATACAGTGCTGAAAATACATTTCCAGACTCAATGAACAGCCGTCTAAATGATTTTATAAGTGAGTGAGTCAGTGAAAATATTAGATTGCAGATTACAAGCGATTCTGCATGCACCGTAAAAATGAAGCAACCACAAATGTGTATCTGGAAAACCCATCTGCTGTGTATGCTGAAATATAATGGAATGTCCTTAAGTGTATACTGACCTGAACAGATCCTCAGCCAGGGACTGTTCTCTAGCTTGTTGTGTCTGCTCCTGCAAAGAGAGCAATGGGAAGTTTAAATGTTACATACATGTAATTATGCAGCATGCTATCTCTACAACATATTAGGATCACGCAGACAGGCAGAGGAGAAAATCACGACAACGTCATAATGTGTGCTAGAATACATCCGGCCAACATAGTAAAAGAGCAAAGCTACACACCATTGAAGTTAATGCCCCTGCTGTGCTAGGAGGCTTCAGATGCTGTCATCCTCATCCTTGCTTCACCCCACAATGAGTGACGTAGACCAAACATGCAGCATGAAGTAAAGACTGCAAGCTTTTTCCAGGGAAGTTTTTAAGTAGGGACAAGGAGTATGGCATTGAATCACCATGAAAGCCAGGCAATGAGCATTATCATTAGGAGAAGCCAGCAATGTCCACCATCCTATCCTCTTCAGTACAGGCTTCCTATAAAGCAGGGGTAGGCATAGACCAGCCCTCCAGCTGCAGTGAAACTACAATTCCCATCATGTATCTGCATCTGGGAGTCATGCCTGTGGTGGTCAGAGTCTTAGAATGCCTAATAGGATTTGTAGTTGCACCACAACTGAAGGGCCAGAGTTTGCCTACCGCTGCTATAAAGTAATTCTATCATTCTCATCCCCCAGCTTGACAGCTTACAGACACACTCACTTGGAATAAGCATGCAGTTGGCAATTTGGTCTTAAATTATTCTTAACCCTTGCAGTGGGGTTACCCCTGCACTGCAAGGGTTAAGTGCTTGTTTTCATCTAAAGTGTAAGATAAAAAGAAAAAAAGTCACACTCACCTGATCCTGTTACAACGCTCCATCCTGCCTGTCTCCTCCTCTGCGTCAGCATTGGTATGTCCTTATGTCCAATACAATGTGTACTGGACATGATGACTCAATGATCACGTCTGAAGCAGAGGGAGAGAGAGGCTGAAAGGACGGATCTAACAGTCAGCCGGCTCCGAGGTGGACTTGCACCACATGGTCAAACTTCTAGACCCTGCAGGTACTTAAAGTGCAGTGAAAAGCAACATGTGTACTGAACCATTCCACATAATACACTGAGATTAACTTAATAAAGGTGTAAAGACTGCGCACTTAGCAAGTGAATTGAGCTCATTGAGCTTGGTGAATATGGTGAACATGTGTTCCCTTAAAGCTCAGTAAGTAGTCACAAAATCACATGCTGCGGCACAGGCATCTCCAACCAGAAAAAAAACAAAGTTCAAATAGAACAATTACAAACACATTACATTGTGCTGTCAACCTAAACCAAGCAAAAAAATAAGTACCAAAATGGACATTACCAAAAACAAAAAAAAGGGAGGGAACAGTAGTATGCTTGTAACATCAGGCAAAGGTGTGCAGACTAAACAGTATCCCAATAAAGTGTATACCTTGTTTATATTATTATTATTTTAATGTACAACAATCCACACTTATTCATGTACAACAGTCTACATGTATTCATGTACAAAAATATGGTGATCAGGGGTGCTGTACCTTTCCAAGAGCAATTTGCTAACCAATCGCTGGCCAGAATGAGCGAAGCGCACTTTCACTATGGATTTCTCACAGGCGGAGTGCATTTGGTATCACTCCGCCTGTGACGGCGCTATAGAGGAAGCCTCGGCTTGTGCGGCTCTGCTCCCTCCGGTGCCGCTTCGCTTCCTCTAGCGCTGGCTTCGTTGGCACCGCCGATTCTCTCCCGCCTCTCCCGGGGAACTCTTCAAGTTCCCCTTTATACCACAACCGGCCCTGGGATTGGTCATAACTAGGTCTTATATTTTAGCAATTCCCAAAAATAGTATTAGGTCTTATTTTTGGGGAAACAGGGTAGGAGCGGTCAAGAAGAATGGGGAATGGAATACAACCCACATTCTAACCACCTATCCCAAATCATAACGTTTTTGTCCAAGGTGCTCCGATGTTGAACTGTACACTTTTCAAAAGCTACTAAGTGATCAAGTTCCACAATCCAAACCTCCTTGGAAGGTGGAGTGGCAGAAATCCATCACAAGAACACGGCGTGCAGCAAATAATGCTCTAGATACAGCAGCAAGAGTAAAGGAATCCCAATCTGCGTATTAAAATACACCAGGTATGCAGGTGAGCGGAGTATTGGAAATCTTAATAGACTGAATTAACGATACAAATTACTTTCTGCCAGTATCATACCAGTGCTGGGCAACGCCATAGCAAATGGATAAAAGATCCTGGTTCTAGACCACATTTGGGGTACTATGAGTCAGATCAAAAACAGATTTTATAGAGAAATTCTGCAATACAATATGTTCTATGTAGAATGTACAACTGTGTTAATCTGTGAGAGAGGGATAGTAGATGGACTGATCACTGGGCCATTGTCATCCAGACTCCCAGTATCCAATTCCCAACAGAATGGGAAATTTTTGCAAAAAATAAGATAACAGGTAAGTATATGGGGTATGAAATGAGGGGTATATATGGAAATTACACCTTTTGTAACAGTGGTCTGACACCGATTATCCAGGAATTTAGTGGGATAGATCACAGCAACGGATATACCGGGGTATATAGAGTATTAAGGAGTGTATACTCAGCTTGTAACTGGTGAGTAAAAGTCCAGACTCAGAATATAACTGTGAGAGAGTAATAATCCCAGAGCCTAGCCTCTATACCTGCAGTAACCCTACTCCTTCTGCCCCAGCATCTGGAAGAGCTTGGAAGGCTTCAAGAACACTCTAAAGCGAGCTATAAACAGCTTCACATGGATTGGACAAAATTCAAGCCATGGGCAACCATGTGGAGACCACCTGGCATGACAAAGTTCCACTGAAAAATCTCAAGGAGCCAATCAGCTACAGTCATTGTTTTGTATTCTGACAATTGCATGTGCCGGCTGTCAGAATACAATAGCCATTAGGAAAGATACCCCATCCATGGCGTTTAGCGTGCATGAACAAGAGAAACCTTTATGTATATAGCCAGCTTAACACAAAATTGTGTATGGGATCTCAGGAAAGTGATGATTCTACTTCTCATTGAGCGTCTAAAGATTATAGGAAACAGTTCATTTCTGTACATGTGCTTCTTAATATACGAATTCAAAGAAAGTCTATGCGTCTTCGGCTAATGTAATAAACAGGCCCAGATCTGCTAGTGTTACTCAGTTTAAACCTGATGATGTTATGTACAGTATGTGCCACAAAAACGAAGAATAATTCTATGCAGAGCACTATATACAGATGGCTTGATGGAAATTGAGAGCCATTAGGGAAAGGTCTGGCCTACCATGAAATGAAACGTATAAGTCTGTTTTTTGCATCCAGCCCAGAATAACCCGGGGAATTAGATTTACTGCAGCGGGAGTTGAATTAATATGTAGATTATATATTACACCGAGGATACATCAGTGACTACCGGCTATAACCATCTGGTATCAGTCCCACTGCTGGATCCTTGCCTGCTACCATCATGTATGGTTTCTGGTGGACAGTGTTGGGCTTTCTGTCTTGTGAACTTTGACTCAATGCAGAAGGGGAAGACAGAAGTGAAATAGTATGACCTCTAGACTGAAGGAAACGGCTATTTTTTATACCAGCCATTTAGATGCTGGGGTGTACTTACAAGCTAGCCAGATGGAAAGGATGTATAACTTTCCCTAGACACCAAGAAAAATGTGTTGTAATCTAACCAGCAGAGAGAGAGAGATGCATTGCTCACTAACATATAGGTCAAGAAGCACAGTATGTCTTTTCAATTCAAAGCTGATAGTGTTAACTTGTCCTTCTTTACCTCCATCTCCTGACGTAACCATTGTTCTATTTCTGAATTCTTCTTCTTGTCATGAGCAATTAAATCAGAGCCTCCTATGATATGAGGAAAGCTTCCAGCCCCTGGAAAAGCAGTCTGTTAAAATGAATGACAATTAATTAACCTGTTTTAAAAAAAGAAAAACTTTTCTGTGGAGGAGAAAGAACACTTGGGGACAAACACAAGATAATTCAAAAGCTTTGGAATCAGGAATAAAACCAATAGCAGCTTCCATTCCTGTACTTAGTACATCACTTATAATAATGCAGGTGGGTGGGCATAGACATAGCATGGACACGAACACACAATAGGCTGTCAACATGCTACTACAAAGCAAAAAGATTCTGTTCCAGAAGCTGCTCTTCCAATTGCCTTGCTGTATGTGGCTGGGTGCAGTATTGTGGGTAGGCATTGTACTTCAGGAAGGAATGGCTCTGTGTTACTCTAGCATATACATGGCCAGTAACTAGGGATGCACCCATACCAATACTAGTATCGGTGCCGATACCGAGTATTTGGGTGAGTACTCGTACTCGCCCAAATCCTCCGATACCTAGCACGAGTGCTTCCTGTATCAGGAAGCCGGGCAGGGCATCATTACACGCTGCCCGGTTTCCTGATTGGCCAGGAAACGGCTCCATGCTCTCTCATCACTTGTGATGAGAGAGCATGGAGCCGACTTCCGGGCCAATCAGGAAGCCGGGTAGCATGCAATGACGCGCTGCCTGGCTTCCCGATTGGTCAGGAAGCTAGCAAATCCAAAGCCGGGCGGCGTGTAATGATGCAGCGCCCGGCATTCTGATTGGACGGGAAGCCGGCGTCATGCTCCCTCGTCATCTCATGAATCATAATATTAAGAAAGTGACCTTAAAGCATTAGTTTGTATTGCTTTACAAAAAAATGTGACCTGTCCCTTTAAGAAAAAGTATCGGTAATTGGTATCTGCGAGTACTTGATCAAAAGTATCGGTACTCGTACTTGGTCTTAAAAAAGTGGTATCGGTGCATCCCTGCCAGTAACCATATAACAAGCCCAAAGCTAACGTGTTATATATTATCATGCGTCTGTTTGTGAATGAAGCATTATAATCCTCATTTGCCTTGTGTTTGAAAACATATGCATTTTTATACACATTTTACATGTGTTCTTAAAGCAGACCTTCTGCGCAAATAGCAGGTCCTCTTCACTGATGGCCCCCCACCGCCCAAACAAATAAGCTGTAAATACAACTCCAACAATAAAGGTTTCAACAAAAATATAAGATAAAAAAAACTACTCACCTTGGTCCAGGCTTCCTGGAGGTACAGGTGACCTCACCCCTCAAAACCCTGCGAGAATGCACTTAGATGGAAACATGCTCGCGGAATTTCGAATGCCCAGAAGCCAGGCAAGGGTATTTTTTATTTATTGTTAACTCTTTATTTTGAACTTTTTTTTAACTGCCTAGTTTGTTTGGGTGCTAAATGCTGCTTTGGGTCACAGGAGTATATTAGTAAATATCCTACTTTGACCCAAAAGAGGACTAAAGCCAAAAAAAGGGTTGAATACGTTTGGATTTAGTTCTCTTAAATCAAGACCCTGCAGTCATGAAGTTATTTCCTGCCACTATTTTTATTTTTTTTTGGCTTTCATAACAGCGTCAAATGCACATTGTAGAAGATACCATTGATTTCATTGCCCATTTGGCTGTTGATGATTTAATACAACACACACTTGAAAAATCACTGAAAACACCATTTGCCAAAACCACACCACGCTAAAGGTGCCCATATACCGTACGATAATCGTATGCGATCGACTTTTCGTATGACAATCGTAACGTGTGAATGTAGTGCCCGACCGATAGTACTGTACAATCGTACGACTTTTGACGGTCAAGCATGTTTGAAAACTTTGGTCGATCGTACGATATTCGCATGGTTCGTGGCGTTTCCGTCCGGCAAAAGTCGTACAAATAACACTGCGCATGCGCAAACAAAAATAATTGCGGTCAATTACCGCAAGTGGTCCAGGTGTTTTTTTTAACTACCGCTGATTGAACCTTGCGATAATCGGGGCAGTATGGGGCCGTCGTACGAAAATCGGACGACGGTTCGATCATCGGACGAAAAGTTTGTCCCATAATCGTAAGGTGTATGGGCACCTTTAAATGTGAAAAGGAGGATGGTTCAGTTCAGAAGACTAGTATATGTCTCATCATGCAAGTGCAGCCTAAACAATCAATCTAATATTACTATATACATTTTTTTGTTTTACAATTTAACCCTGCCACAAAATAGGGGAGGATCAGCTGGAATGGCAGCCCTTGCAATACAGAATGAAGCACAATCACAGTTGGCTGAAATGATATAAGTAGCCCCTTCATTAATTACCTTTCTGAATTTTTTAAAATTAGGTCCATTTCCTTGCTTGGCGTTGGCAGTATACTGACTGTATGTTGCTGGTCGACTGACAACAACAAGTGTCCGAAATTCCGTCAGCAAAAGTCTGCTTGGAAAGTTATCGTCATTTTCCCCTTTTGGTTGCACCGTCATCATCACAGTCTGTACGAAGGATTTGGAAAGTTTGAATTGAGAGTATTATTTATATACTGTATAAAACTTCCACATTAGAAAACAATCTATTGTTTTAGAGGAACTACAACCCATTCTGTAAAAACATTCTCTCTTATTGTGACTCTGTCAGCCGCACAAACAGGGGCTTCAATGTTATCTCCTGTGTGTAGCAACCCCTCCTCAGCACATAACAGATGAAGTCTGATGAAAATGTCAGCTTGGCCCTGCTGGTTCATACGCTGCACTTGGTGCAATACATGGCCACCACTGCCAGCCTTCTAAAAATCCTAGCTGGCTGTCAGGCTGTGGGCCACGCAATTATAAAATGCAACTGGAGGCTGTAAACACTGTACATGTCTTACTCATACTGTTAATGAACAACTCAAGACATTGATCTATTGCAAACACTATGATGCCCATTTTAATGCATGTCTAGACAGAGCCCATCCATCTCTATGGGGATCAGAGTTGAACATACACAAGGGTCAATAATTCGCAAAGCTTTCTTTTTCTTCATTTCGCCCATTATTTCACAGATCTCACACATTATATGGTTGCTGTGTAAAGGTAGTCAATTCACAAAACTCAATAACTCTTCTCATCTAGCAAAATTATACTTTTATTTTTGAAAGTAGTGGTGAAATAATATGGTAGATAGAATTTTAGCTACTTGGTCATTATTTGACCTGTTCAGATGATACATTAACAACCGGAATTAACAGGGTGATGTTATGACACATTTGGGATGTTATCGGATGCTTGTTGCAATGTGATAAAGTGAGGTAAATGGAAAACAAACCTTTTTTTTCATTTTGACATAAATTTAATGTATAATTAAACTCTCAAACTTTTTTTCAATAATGAATCCAAATCAAACAAGTATATATTGATCAGCAAAGCATTTCTTTACATACTGTATTTCCCCAAGCACTTGCTTATCATGTTTCCAAACATTTGGCTCCACTTCTATCAGCTCGGCTTCCCTGAATTTTCTGTCCAGTACAAGATCACAAGGGACAGAGCAATCTCCATAAGCCATCCATCTACTAGCTTGGATAAGAGTGGAAGGAGTAGGGAGCAGGGAAGTGTCTTGCAGTGCCTGTGTGTTTGTGGAGACACACACAGTTTACTAACACACAAGAGTGGCTCTATAGGACTCTGCAAGGGAAGGGAGCAACCCTAAAACAGGATATCAGGGACAGTGCTTAGGTGACCAGCTGATTCTACAGGAAGCTAAAACTTGTAAACATGAAGGAGCAGCATCCATTGTGAGTGATTTCATCAGCATTTAAAATAGCTTAAAAAACCTTTTAACTTTAATATCACTTTAAGCTGCTGCACTCACATGTCTCAATACACTGTATATTGAAGGGAGAGACCATTAATCTTGCCACTTGCAGCTGTCGTTGCCTGGCTGAAGCTATTCAAGCATCATGTATTTGCAATACATTTAAAAATAAAATATATATATATATAAAAAATGTGGGAAAAGTCATTTTCCGTCTGACAAATTCTGCTGCGGGAGGTGCCATTCATTTCAATGGCACCCCAAACATGCCTCCCACCCACAGCGTGATCACCTGCACTGGAACACACGGTGCTGCGATGGTGTGCATTGTGATTGCAAAAAATGTGCAATCTGAAGTAAACTATGTTTGTAACACTGCATTTGTGTATTTTTTTGTAAATTAAAGATAGTATTTATTTAATTGTTTTATACAATTAAATCGATCAAATAAATCGGCCAAATAATTATGAAAATCATCATTAGTTGCCGCCCTACTTTATTTTTGCCTTGGCATACACTTTAAAGGAAGCCCTGCCTCCACAGTGTTTACCAACCACAGTGCATATAATCTCAACAGGGTACAGGCCTACCCTTTGCAGTGCATATGACCTGGCAGCTCAGCAATATGTGTACAGCAAGACTGCTTCCTATAAGGTTCAATAAATCCTATAAGTAGCAGATAACAGAGGGGTACTCCGGCTCTGGGAAGTGCTGCCCAAAGCAGGCCGGGCTTCGGCTGTCTTCTTTAAACAGCCATCAACAATGAACACAATGAAAATTACCTTTTTGTCCTCATACAGAGACTCTGGCTCCTGTTTAATTGATGGTTCCGTTTTTACTTTCTGTTCACTTTGCTGGGCCGCCTGAGAAAAATAAAAATAAAAGCATGTAAAACAAAAATAATCAATTTTGAATAAAATATGGCGTCATTACCAGAATTCCATCCCTGTGAATGGTGACTAATCTGTGTGTGGAATTTTCAATTAGTGGAAAACAAAAGTATGCCACATTACTTACAAATAATTAATCCTCTGAAACATCGCTACAACAATTGCTGGAATGTAAAACTGGCAGCATATTTTCCCCTTTCTTTTCATGCGGAGCTTGTGAAAATGGACAGGGCTGTGAAATCAGTCTGTAATAGGCTGGTATGTCTGGCCAAAGCCAAAAATGTGACACAAACAGACTTATTAAGAGCTGACCTTATGATCAGATTAGATGGCGAGGGGCAATAAAAGCTACTAAACATTTTACTGGATCAAACTGGAGGAGAGAACACATCAAGAAGAACTGACCCAGACTCCCAGGTAACCGAGCCCTAGACATTCTAAGGAGATGCAGATCTTCTATATAGATAGAAAGGGCGTTCACAGGCAACAATCTGTACCATGTATAAACTGTCCTTTAAAAAGGCAAATTCACACAACAAGCATAATCAATCAGTAAACTGATAATGTGGGTTGTTCAGGATGTACTGCAACTATGGCGATGTCAAGTCACCTCGATTTACCAGTTTTTTTTATCACAGGTATTTATATACAACAATTTACATAGTTGCACATTCACATCAGTCTCTGCCCTCAAGGAGCTTACAATCTAAGGTTCCCATCTCATATACAGGGCCGATTTAGACCGGAGCCAATTAACCTTCCAGCATGTCTTTGAAGTGAGGGAGGAAACCGGAGTACCCGGAGGAAACCCACGCAAGCACAGGGAGAACATCTCAACAAATTCCTTGCCGATAGTGCCCTTAGAATAAAATGTATTATATAAACTTCCTATGATCCCTTGCAGGCAGATCAAGAATCAAGAATGGCAGATCAAGAATGCCTCACAGAGTCACTAGGCCACATTACAGCCTATAGCCAATCTCTGTCCAACTCCCTCCATCACATCTGCTGTACATATTGTTTTATGTAACCTTTAGGTACACTGCAGTCAGGGTTTGTAGAATTAGAATGCAGAGAGAGTGATGGGTCAGGCATTTAGAGTAGACTTGCCTCAGGTCACACACAGTGACTTCTACAGCGTGGGGTAGACAAAATAAAATCTGGACAATTAGACTTCGTCCCCAAATGCATTTCCTGACTAGGTGCCAGCTGAAAAAGTTTGAAGTTAGCAAAAATACAACCTGTTGCCATGTTATTTAATTGACATAATTACAACCTGTAACTAAAATTGTGTGTAAAGATATCAGTAATACAGACTCATGACAAGCACTTTACTGAAGAAAAAATACGCATGCAAACAGAAAAGCATATTTGTTACAGATCCATACTCTCTTCCCCACAGATATGTAACTAATGCAAAGTGTTCCCTGCATGCACACACATGTAACTTATGCATTGTGTCTCTGCATGCACACACATGTAACTGATACATATTGTTCCCTGTAACTGATGCAACTGATTCATAGCTTCCATACACACATAACTGATGCAGAGTGTCTCTTGCATGTGCACACACACGTGACGTCCCCTGCATGCACACATGTAACTGATTCATAGCTTCCTTGCATGCACACACACATGTAATTGATACACATGGTTCCCCGTATATAGACACATTTAACTGATTTATAGTTTCCCCTGCATACACACGTAAATGATGCATAGTGTCCTCTGTGCATGCACACACATGTAACGGAGAAAATGATAACAAATGCCTTTGTTCAGACATTCATCCATACAAAGTGTCAGGAACCAGAGAATCTGTTGGTGATTCTATGGAGCTAGAATCTAAAACTTGTAGTTCCAATTCATTCCCACCTGGTTGCTGGTATGGTATTTGGCCCCCTCCTCTGAAAGATGACTTGGCCTCAGCATTGTTCCTGTGTGCCATGCTCCCATGCCTGCTGTCTTGTAACCCGCTTACCTGATCCTGATTCCTGTAACCCTTCTGATCTGGCTTCTCCTGGTATCCTTTCCCTTGTGGTCTGGGCCTGTTTACTCATTACCTCCTTTTATTGCAGTGTACAGACTGTATACATATTAGTTTGTAAGTTAGGTGTTTTTTTTGCACTTTTGGTGTTGGTTCTTGTTTTTTGAAACCTGCATTGTTCACAATAAATCTTACTTATCACTTCGTTTTGGGCTGAATCAAGATATTTGGTCATATCCTTTTTTTCATGATACCTGCATGCGGTATCATGACAGAATGCCGAGGCCACTAAAGTAGATGTAAAGGATATGGAGAGGTTTTGAAAAAAGGGTCAAGGACCCCACTTGGCTGAATGGGTAAGTCTGTCCATAAAATGGAGGAGAGCGCTTGGAAAAACACAGGGAGGTATTATTATTTTGGAGGAAGATTTGGATAATGAAAGTCCTAAACGGGGAGGGTCAGCAGACTGGACAGGAACCCCTGGCACCAGAACAGGCTGGATTGGAACGATCGGTACAGGGACAAGTTGGACTGGACCAGCAGGTACAGGCTGGGCTGGAAGATGTGGCACAGGAACTGCCGGGACTGGAGCATCTGGCACAGGAACAGGCTTGGGTTGATCGGCTGGCATGGGAGCAGGCTGGGCTGAAGCAACTGGCATAGGAACAGGCCGGCACAAGAACAACCTGGATAGCATGAGTGGGAAAAAACTTCTGCTTCTTTTTGGTTTTGAATACTGGTTCCTTTCTGATGTTTGTAGAAAGTGCTTATAGCTGTTTAAGTGGTGGGAAAGTTGGAATATCCTTAGGAGGAGGAGTGTGCACAATAGTGTCAGAGGTTGCCATAGGCAATAAAGGTGAAGGAGGTTGGTATCTTGAGGGAGGACTAGACAAAGGTAAATTTGAGGATGACATATCTGACCCGATTTAAAGCAGAGGCTGAGCAAAAGTCGACTTGGATCCCTTTCCTAGCTAGGGATTGAAGTGCCTTAATACAGTTCAGCAAAGCTTCCTGAAAATAGCTTGAGTAGTGCTCAAAGAAGCAAGGTTCATCATCCTCTAATAACTACACCAAGGACGTCACCTAAGACGAGGTAAAAGGAGGGAAGAAATCATTGCCAATATTATCATGCAAAGCCAGATCTCTACACATTTGGATCAGTGGTTGGATTGCCCCAAATGAAAAACTGCCCTGATCCATAAAACAATGAGGTAGACGGCTATATCTAGCAGTAGCACCCTAGGCATGTCCCGCAGCAGGTGATGGCAATACTCCCTTATCTACTGATGCTAATAGAACATAATAAAGCACATGGTCTGGCTGCGTCATGAAAATAGCAAAAGTGTACAACTTCGAAATTTCCCAGAAACTCTCAGATCCTTGGTGCAGTAAACTTGGTCATTACGGCCTCAGCATTCTGTCACGATAACGCATGCAGGTATCCTGTGAAAAATATATGACCGAATTGCTTGTACCAGGGATGTGAAAGGTTTTGGTAGTTTTGGAAACCTGCCCTATTATCATATTTTTATTTCATTTAAATCAAGTCATATCTATAAAAGAAGACAGTACACACTCATCTTTTCTGCTGCCCGCTGTGCCAAAAGCCACTCAGATCCCGTGAAATCTGCAGGAAAACCGACACTTGCAGCACTCACTCATTCTTCTTACTGACCTCCATGCATTACAGGAGACAGCATTGACATGGAGGTTCTTTTTGAGTACATCAAGTTCTGCCAGAAGTCGACACTTCCAGGAGTGTCGAAGTCCTGTCTAAGTCGGTGCCAGCTACTTCTTGCCCCAACCTCTATGTCACTGTTTTTATGTGTGTGGCTGAGAGAATGATAGCAGGAGCGTGCACAAGGGATATCAGGCATCAGCCCAAAAAGCCAGAATTATGCTGGTATTGCTGCACCAGCAATGCCACCTCCACTGCAGTAACCCAGCTGCTCCAGGTTTATATTTATTTTTGTGCAGTCATGACAAAGTCACTGTCTTCATCAATACTGTGCATGTGTGGGATACACACTGAATGTCAATGGAGTGGCAGCTCTGATTCTGCTGGATCAGCTGCCATCGCTGCAATGCTGGCGTTCAGCAGCAGATTTAAGATCTGGACGTCCTGGACAAGGGAGGCCTTTCTGAAGAAATTGGATCTATAACACAATGTAAATAGTAGGGATGCACCGATAATGGTTTTTCAGTATTAAATACCGATATTTTTTTTTCTGGTTCTCGCCTATATACAGTACCGATACCAGTGCCATAAGTCCCGATTATAAGGAAGTCGTACGGCGGATCGTGACCCGTCTCCCCGATTGCCTGTGAAGCCGGTGTTCTATCAAAAGAACACTGGCTTCACTTGCTGAGGCTGCCTATCCAATCAGGAAGCCAGGTCAATAGATGCCACCCGGCTTCCTGAATGGCTAGGAAGCTGGCTTCACTTGTTCCTAGGCACCCTGGCGGCAGGTCATTGCAAGCTGCCCGGCTTCCTGGTGGATAGAAAGCTGGCTTCACTTGTTCCTAGGCACCCTGGCGGCAGGTCATTGCAAGCTGCCCGGCTTCCTGGTGGATAGAAAGCTGGCTTCACTTGTTCCTAGGCACCCTGGCGGCAGGTCATTGCAAGCTGCCCGGCTTCCTGGTGGATAGAAAGCTGGCTTCACTTGTTCCTAGGCACCCTGGTGGCAGGTCATTGCAAGCTGCCCGGCTTCCTAATTGGATAGGAAGCCAGGCTGCCTAGCAACAAGTGAAGCCGGCTTCCTAGCCAATCAGGAAGCCGGGAGGCTGGTCATAACCCACCGCCCAGCTTCCTGAATGGAAAGTAAGTCAGCTCCATGCTCCCTCAGCACTGCCGGTCAGAGGGAGATTTTCCTCTGTCCGGAAGTTCCCGTATTGGAGGTAAGTATCTGAGCATTTGGGCGAGTACAAGTACTCGCCCAAATATTCTGTATCGGTGCATCCCTTATAAATAGATATTACATCGTATAGGAAAGTGAAAATGGTTATCGTTGCTCATAGCAGCCAATCAAATTCTCCCTTTCATGCGTATAGTACAGTATAGAAGAACCAATTTTTGATGTAAAAGACGAGAAGATTTATTTTAAACATTTTTCACCGATGAAGCCCTCTATCTACAATCCTCTCCACAATCCCAATGAGAAGAGCCTTCAGCATTTGTAGATAAACACTTCTAGTGTGTGGTTTGACTCATTCCTTATGTGTTCATAGTACAGATTGGTCAGCCTATTTTAACCAGTCACCCCTTCTGTGCTGCAGTCTGATGTCATTCTGAATAAGGTCAGCCCCTCGATTTTCCCACATCACAGTGCTACAGCTCTTTCTGTTCTAATCCACATAATGGATAAATTGGGTCAGAATCACCTGAAACTCTGCTGCAGACACTGATTGATGTTTTCAATATTAAAATGTTCCAGGATAATAAAACCACGTAAGAATAATGTGGGTTTTTGCCAATTAAACTTTAAATCACAGCTTAAAGTCACACTCCACTGACAAAAAATATATTAAACCATCCATATACCAAGAAAAGAGATCAAAGGCCCCTTCATAAATGTAAATTACACTGTGTCAAATACATTGCCAAACTACAGCCAAAACATTTTTGGGTATACAGTGGGGAAACTTAGGACCCACTTTTAATTGATCCCATTTGGGAGATTGCTCTTCAGATCCTTCATTTCATTTGATGGGTGTTAAACAGAAAATGAAGTGAGTGGAATTCTGCCCAAGCTGGGACAGCAGGCAATAAAAATAAAATCTTTCAGAAAAGCCCCTTCCTGTTGGCCGTACACCTATATATGGCACTACTGGGTGGGGCTTATTCTCTGCTGCCACATATATGCTTTACTGCTTTGTGTTGGGAGTGCGCTCAACCATGCACACCTAGCACTGTGACTGTGAAGTAACTGTTACCTTCAGGTCACAGACTGACGACTGGGAGCCGGTAGGACAGGCTCACAATCACGTGATCACTGTATCATCTAAGATAATCTAATTGACCTCGGTGAAGGCAATGTGCGCACCATTGTTTCTGGCTCCTACAATGGGTACAAACAATAAATAATGTACACATATGGGGTAAAAAAATAACAACGACCAAGTCACTTTATGGACCATGCTCCAATAAAAGTTGTAAACAGAGGTGTACATAATCATTGATAATGTTTTATCTCACGCGAGTCTGCTGATGTGAGAACAGTCACTCGGCTCATAAATGGCTCTTAAGGTCACCACTTTGCAGCATACCTTTACAAAGCAATGCTTTCATTAGGGAACACATGTAATCATTTTATTTCTGTGCATATGTGTGTGACTGATAGACTGCGACAAGCAGACAAAGGCTCACCACAGACTCAGCAAACACAAGTAGGAAACATTTTGGCCGAGTGCTGTCTGATGTTGACAGATCAACTGTATTACACAAATAGTTATTTTAAACAAATAAAAACGTATTAGTAATAAAAAATGGGCGTAGCCTGACGAAATATGAATGGCCTGGTAAGCCTAGACAAAACTTACAAAGCTACACAGCTAAACCCTATGTATAGCTTTTTTTTCTAGTTTTGGATAGAGTAGGGGCAGAAAAGAACCTCTGTCTGGATTTTATAGCCATCTATGTCTCCTCTGGGAAGATTCAGCCTACTCATTTGTCCTGGTGATCATTGCCAGCATGAAATAAAGCAATTGAAAGTTCAAAGTCTTACAGTTGCCACCAGAAAAGGATGTCAGGAGAAATCTTCCACTGGTCACCCGTTTATGCGACAACCATCCAAGAAGGGATGTACATCGCTTTAGAGAAATGCCCTTTCATTTCCTGTTATGTCTCTAGGACAGGAATGAAACAAATCTCCCCAATGGGACACAGAGGGGAAAACCCCCCCCAAAAAACTGACAAGTGTTTTAAAACCCTCCCTTACTCTATACAAAACAGTTTTTTTGCCCTTTTATTTATTTTATGATTAAAAAATAAAACTAAACATTCCAGACAGACTGTGTCCAGGGCCGTGCATCCATTCCGGGATGCATGTATATGCTCAGATGTGCATTAAGATCCGTAGCGCCTGTGTGTGCGTCAGCTGGTCATTGATTGGCCCTCAGTCTACATTATAGATGTGCATGCTGCTAGTTCTGTGACCACACTGTCACTGACAGCCACAGGTCTTCACTGACAGCTGCATATGATCTACGGTTAACCTACTTTTCACATACTTCAAGCAGGATTTGCATTCCTATGAACTTGTATAGGAAAGCAAAAACTGTGCGCCTGGAATAGTCCACCAACACAGAGGAACGTTTCCACTACTATCTGACAGAGGTTGTACACCTCACCTGTTGTATCCAAAGCTAAAAGAAAAAAAAAACCAAACATTTGGTACAAATAGATTACAGCGATATAAAGTAACATCAGACTAAAAACCTAATCACAGGCAGGTACTTACTGTAGTTCTATTACCCCTTGCCGGCAACCCTGGTTTGAGATCTTCTCCAGAATCTCCTTCTGAATCCAAGCGCTGCCTTTTGACCAGGACTGAATGGGATTTTGGGACTTTTTGTTTAACTTGATCACTAATTTCATCATTTTCTAAGTCAGACTCTTCCACCACATCATCTTCATTATCAGGTTGCTTCCTCTTCATTGATGCATCTTTCTCTACAATAGACGTGGAGGCCTCATTGTTACCTTTAGGCCTTGTGTTTGATAAGTCAGGTTTCTCTTTGGGTACCACATTGAGTTCTTTATCTAAATCCACATCATCAAGGGAAAGCATTTCAGAGTCTGTCACTGGTAATGAAAAGATATTCTCGGCAGCATTTGAACCCAGGGAGACGCCGGTTTCCACTCTAGAGGTCTTTGCAGTAGACTGTTCACCTTCGTCCACCTCTCTATCCCTGCAAATAGGGAAAATGTTTATTGCATTCTTGGTCTATTATCACTATCAGAATATCTTTAAAAAGATCAAAAAGATTGATTTCTGAAAATTGTATGAATCGAATACATGTAATGACAGTATACAGTTTATACACATGAGTTTTTTCCTCCCATACCTTTATTTATATTTTTCTCTGTATTTTTATGAAGGACAAGCTGCTCAGTAAAACAGTGATAGGAATTGAGACAAGCTGGAAGATTGCCCGAGTGCTCCAGCAGTATATTTTTAAAAGAGAAGATTGAAACCATATAAATAGAAAGACGAATACTCTAAGCGCGCCTGGCAGCATTACAGTCTATTACATTTGTTGTCATGGTCACCTCTGCTGGACAGATTGGTCTGCATATAAATGTGGGAAAATATCCATTATGCTGTTAATGTTTGATCCTTAGCCAAGTAAGCGATTGGGGATAGCTGATGTAGCTCTACTTATTAAGCATATGTCTGCATAAGTTTACTCATTACGTTTGCATCACTCGATTATGTATGTGTTGTATGTTTTATTGTAAAATGTTGGCTCTAAATAAAGAATTAAAAAAAAAAAAAAAAAGCTAAGGCCCCTATTACACAGGCTGATCAGGAGGGGGATGCGTGCATGGATCCCCTCCTGATCAAAGCAGGACGGATCGGATGCCACCGCTTCTTGCGATGGAGAAAAAAACTGAAATGGATGGAACTCATGTTGGTTTATGGGGAATTGGATATAAACAGACGTGTCTGTTTACATCAGATTACACCCATACGGCGCAATCTGATCCAGCGAAACGAAACACTGTTCTGTTTGTTTTCCTGGACCTGGGCGGAGGCGGGGGTAACGGAGTGTAAACAAATGCCCATCCTTTCGGGGCCGCATGACTTAGTACTGTTTACCAGGTAAATTAGGTCTGGTTCCCACCAGGTGCATTGTTCAATGCTGATCAATCCAGACTTAACTCAGGGACACAAAGAAAACAATTGTTCTCTCTTTGCGCTGTTCACCCCATACATGTGGGTTGGTGCGCACTGCATAAAAATGCAGCATGTCTGGTTTCTCTCACTCTGTGCGTAATGCAGTAATGCGCGTGGCAATGAACCGCAGCGCGTCACAACGCAGTGTTCTAAATAGAGTTGAATGAAATGTGATTTTGTGACATTTCAATAATTCAATAGACATTTCAAGTTAAAAAGAAAAAAGTAAACACTAATACTTTCCAACAAAACATTGCACTGTCCCCACACACACCAGTGGATGCGCATTTTTACGGACCATACCGCACACATGCGAATGTTACCGGACCTTTAATCTGAAGTGCAAGCATTGGAGATTTTGATAACAGGCTTTGAAACGCGTATGTTCCTTTGATACAAAGCTGAATGTGAGAATCGTGTCTACACAGAAAAAGGATCTTCCCTAAAAAGATTTTAGATGTTGTAATATGTTACAGCTTCCCTTTCACTAATTGTTTTCTGCTTTCACCAACATTCCTATTTGTTACATTTTTTACTAATGTGTAAACATGTTACAAATCCTTTGCTCTCTTGGTGACCAGAAGAACATCCATGTTTTGGGAAAAATTTGACTGTTATTACTAATAAAATGTGAGCTTTCAGTGCTTGTGACCTGATATGATCTCATCGTGATTAGTAAACAGACACTTAGTCCATTTATTTGTTTTGACTACACAAAAAAAAAAAGGGAAGCAGGTTTCATCACCGGGGACTGTGGACAAAATAGAAACGCCTAACCTGGGCTCATTTAAATGTAACAACTTCCTTAATATTTTACTATCAAATGTGCAGAGTGTTTAATCCTCCAACCTCAACAATGGGAATATTATAATGCAGGTTTTCTCAGTAAGTGGTATGTGCAACCTGGGGACACGTCAGACAACACTGGGGCAGAATTCTGCTTTAAAAGGAAACATTTAAAGGGGAGCTTTACAGAACCCCTATTAGGTTTTATTGCTCTCTCTATTGGCCGTAGTGACTATTGTCTCCAATATAAAAGGTGAAGGGAAATCCAAAATTTTGAGTTGTCACTGGAACAGAAAGTGAACTGTCCAAAAGGATGATCTACTCCGTATGGAAAGATCTTGTCTTACTTCCTGTTGTGTCCCTGAGAAATCTCCCAGAGGGGTAAGCCCCTCCATAATCAAAGCCAAAAAGAAAAGATTTTTGGCTTTACAAATACTTTAATGAAAACCACATAAAAATGAAGTAGTTTAGTTACTTAAAACAAGTCTGCTTAGAAATGTAAATTTATATACAATTATGGGGTTCTGGTAATTGTATTTTGGTCAAGGCCTATTAGCGATAGGGTAACTTACACCAGGGTTATGTAATAAAACAGCTGTATTACAATATAGACCCCTTCTACAAAGCCTGAGAAACCCTGTTTTCTGAAGGTGGAGGGAAAACTGAAGGTATCATACATACCATCATCTACATCTTACAAATGAAGAGAAACAAGAACTGTTCAACCATACATATGACCTTTAACGTATAGCTTTCATGAGAGAATTATGCAAGCTGCTACTGTGACCCATTTCAGAAAATGTTCACTGCCTGGCTGTAATGCTGATTTGGTCAGATTTCAATGGGTTCTGAGTTCCTGATCCACAAGAAGAATGGAGGTAAGGATTTTAAATACTCTTCTGACACTTATTTATAGCATTTTTGTTTGTTCAGTTACTGAAAATATTAAAGTCAGGCAATTATAATTTACAAAAAGAGGCCAGCAATGACAGACACTATTCTTCTCGCATGTTAGGTGAATTCTAAAAGAAGATACACAAGCTTGATACTGCTAACCTGTATAATGCTCTCTGGCTAGTGTCACTGCCCTGCAATGTGCCTGGATTTCAAATAAACATCCTGAAAATGGCGACTCCCACCCTGAACTCTTTAGCGATTGGGTTTGAATCTAGGGGCCAGCTTAAAAAGTATTTAGCCAGGATATTTGTAGCACAATTTTCATCTTCCTATTAATTTAATTTTTTTTAACTATTAAACCCCTAATGTCACCTTTCCACTTCAATAGCTTTAGCTGAGGAATGACAGCTGCCTGCTGAGGCAGCTGAATGTAAAACATAGCAGGCAGTGGCTGGGTGCAATGGGTCCAGAGTGACAGAAGTGTTTGGCTTTCATCCTGTAACAGAGGGCGCTCATCTCCCAAACTTGACATCATCACTAGAGATGGCAACACTTGGTCCCTGTACAAGTACAAGTGTCCGCACAAAGTTGCCCTAACATTTTCACCCAGCACTTAAAATTCACCAGGCTTCCAGGTAACCTTTTTGCAGGTCAAACACTGTCTGCATTCAAATTGCAGACCACTGTATTCTGCATGAAGCAGAGCACAGCAATCGAGATAAGTGGAACATCTTTTGCACATACCTTTTCTTTGCAGTTGGCTGAAAATAATCCGGCATCTTGGATGGCACCATTTCCTGTGAGGTTTTCTCCTTATGTGAAGCAGGTTTTTCTATAGATAGAAGCAGCTGGCTCTTCTTTTCTGTTGGTTTTGATACCTCCTGAAACAAGGTAGTCCTGCAGTCCCCATTGGAACTTGATTTTAGATCACGATCCACACACATACCAGATTTAGTGCTATGACTGCTCTTGGGTGTCTCTTTAACTTCTCGAGCTCCACTTATATCCATCCTGAAAAAATTACAGGTAACAATAGTTAAAAAGAAGAAAAAAAAGCTCGGCATATTAAATTTCACATGTCACAGCGATGTATAGGTGCTCATTCATTAATTCATTATGAACAGTGCAAAAGAGAGTTAGAACCACTGAGGTTTTTACATGTCTGTCTGAGTCACTCTTGTGCAAGGAGACAGGGCTAGGGGACGTGCAAGACAAGCAATCCCAAACCCAGGGACAAAATTGCTAAGAGACCACTTTCCTTATCCTTTGAAACTTGTTCCTCAATGGCTGGACCAGCAAGAGGTTATTCCACTGCTGCTCCCTTATCAATGAGTCTGATTCTGCAGTGTGTCAGGCCAGTGAGAGAGGATGACACCCATTAACTTGAAGATTCTGCCACTGATCATGCATTGCAAGCGTTATAGTCCCCCACCTGACAACAGCCTAGATCAACGCGTGTGGATAACTCTTTAACAGAGACACAAATGACTCAGGCATGTATTGCTATGTCCATCAGTGTTCTCCCTAGGGTGTTTATGACTGGTTATTCATCCAGCTAACTTTGGTGATAGCCGGGCAAAAAACTCCCCATGGAGAACACTGCAGAATGTGCTCCTACTCTCCCCTCCTTTGTGAAAACTAGGACTCACCTTGCTCCTCTGTGAGCCAGTACCACTGCAAGGCAATTAATGAAGAGTGAGTGTAGATCTGTGTATTCCCATTCAGTGATTTCCTTTAGGCTGACTGAGCCCTAAAGCACTCTACTCTGAGCATTTTCAGGCTCAGAGATGCCAAATCCTGGCTACAGCAGCCAGGTAAGCAGCAGATTGGGGACTCGGTGTCCCTGATCTGGACTGGCTGAAGCAGAAGTAGTATGTAATGGAACATTTTGTATTTTTCTTTTTGACTGAAAATATAGATTTCAAAAACATTTGCCCAATACTTTTACTTCTCTGTGATAGTATGCTGACTTTTTTTTGGATCAACTGGCTAAAATGTACACATAGTAAATGTGCAAACAGTGAAAAATGTGTTAAACAGCTGATTATACAAGATGAATAATTAAATAGGTAACATGTATATCATGACAGAACATCAGAAAAACAAAGTATATATCGCATATTATAATACAAAATAATTCAGCAGAATATAGCATGTAGCTTTGAAAGAACAGTTTGTGACAGAAGAGTTGTACTGTACATGGATCTAATAGTTTTAGAAATAATACTATTTTCTAAATAAAACTTCCAATACGTGAACAATTTTTCATTTGTCATCATATACATGTTATGTAAATATGGTCTGGATGAAAGACAAAAAAGCTGGAGAGAGAAACATAAAACATAAGGAAGGCACATTAGGTATCTAAAAAAAGACACAACATACCAATTATGAGTCTTATCTGCTGGCTCTGTATCTGCAACATAAGCTGTGGTGTTGAAGGTGGCTACAGGCAATACAGTCTCATTGACAGCCATACTGGAGGAAAATGAAGATCCCACTATATTACTCCTTGCGGACTTTTCTGAATGGAAACAAACGGTTTTAAATTAGGAATCAATTTTTACAATTCAAAAACATCTTATTGGGGGCTTTGCAGAACAGGTTCACCTCCATGGTGATCAATAGCATCCCATAGGCAACTGGATTCCAAATCTTCCAGCTACATTAGATCTGTGCTATAGCCACTGTTAGGGATAATGTACATGAGCATTTGACAAGTATTCAAAGTGAGTTGAAGAGAGGATTTAAAGAAAAGCACACCATGATCTCAGACTGACCTATAAAGTCTGTCTACATTAAGCCTTTATACAGACAATCAGTGCGGGTCCCAGAGGGGAAATGTGTTTCTTAACATAAACCTTCTAGTAAAGAAATTTCTATTTAAGTCAAATGTAAAAACTAGGGATGCACTGAAATTTCTGCCACCGAAACATAGGGGCCAAAAATGGCACTTTTGGCAAAATGCCAAAAGTGCTATCTTTCGGCCGAAATTGCAGTGCATGTCTGGTTTTTCTCTTCCCCTTTGTGCGCTGCTCTATATCCCCTCTGATAGTGCAGCGTGCTGCGTCCAGCGGGGTGGAGAGAAACTGTCACAGGAGGATGAGCAGTGCGGGGGAGCGGCCGGTGTGTCACAAAAGGCCGGGTTCTCCTCCAGCACTCCCCACTCAGCCACCTTTGGCAGATCAGGAGAGTGATGTGAGGGCGGAGACACAGGAGGCCTAGCTGGCAGTGTGGGGAGGAGTCAGATGTCACAGGAGACCCATTTCTCTTCACTGTAAAACAGTCACCGCTCCAAGCTCACTCCTATGAGAAGACTAGAATCTCAACACAAATTAGTAAACTAAATATGAGATTGTAGTCCATCACTGAAGTAGCCCCCCTCCAGGAGGAAGGACAGTGTCAGCACCAATTCAGAGATGATTTGAGGATCAGCCGAATGATACACAAATAAGATACATTTTTGTTAATAGTTACAGTACCTGAATGTATTTTTAAGATTTAAAAGAGAACTACGGGGTAACCTTTTTATGCCATAGTTCTCTTTAGGGTCTCGGGAGGACATACACTAACGTCCTCCCGTGACCCAAAGCTCAGTATATTGCTCGCTATATACTGAGCGCCACAGCACGGACAGGTCCCAACAATACTGTAAGTAGCCACCCTCCAGAAGGAAGGACAGTGTCAGCACCAATTCAGAGATGATTGGAGGATCTACAGCCAAGTGATACACAAATAAGGTAAAGCATTGTTAATAGTTAACTCCTGAGTTTGGTGTCACTTTAAGTATTACCTGTATTTATAACAATCTACAATAGAGGACCTGAAATCTTGACCAGAAATCCACAAAAACACAGAGAGAACAGGAAGTACAATCTCCATTAAGATTATGTCCCTGGACCTGGGATCTCCGAGCACCTACATGGTCAAACGCATCCCCTTTTCAGTATATTACATTGTTGCATGTGTGAAGTACTTATTACCATTTAGCTAAAATATATTCTGATAAAATATTTTCTTACAGTCTATTACATTTTATAATAAAACAATGATTTATCAGCTTGCTGTTATCCAAGTAAGAACTCAATACTGGTAGTGACTTTTCAGAGATTCAGCAGACCGGAAGAATTGATGGCTAATATTTGATCAGCAACACTGATCAGATATTTATAGCAAGATTTTCCCATATCAGATAATGGCTAACGATTTCTAGACGGTATTGTGGGAATGTATGAGATGACAGACAAAGCTTATGGTCAGTCTATGTCTCTGTCCTTAACTTTGGTTTTAAACAGGGGGCAGTGACTAAATGAATGCAGTATGCGGTATAAAAAGTATAAATACGAGTTTATTAGATCTTAGAGCATCTCATAGCATAGCTGCTCCTCTGATTCAAGACTATAACTTGAGGTGCAATCTGCTAGTATTAACCACTGCAGAAATTTACAGTAGTGCTACTCATATGTGTATTTTTTATTACGGCATGGTCTTCCAGTGGAATATACACCAAGATCTCTACCAGATGTTTCTGAGCTATAGATGTTTCTAAAGCTGGCCATACCCTTACCATTGTTTTATCTTGATGCCTCCCATCCCCGCTAAACAGTGTGGATGGGGGAATCCCTTCACCCTCTGGGCTATTATGTGTTCTGATAGCAGCGGTGAGCGGCCATCACTGGCTGTAGTCACTGTTCAGTCAAGGATTTTTCCAACTAGCTCCTTCAACAAAAGTCGATTGAAAAAAAAAGATTTTTGTCGAATGGAGAGGTGCCAATGGGGCCACACACTGCTCGAATTTCGGGTAGTGTATTTCAGCAGTGTAAGGTCGGCTAAACTGGTAGAGACTCTGAATATACTGTTGGTATTTTATCTCAAATCTGGCTTGGAAACCTCTGGGAACCCCAGATGCCTTTTCTAGACAGAAGGAAGTCTGGCCGGGCCTGTCCAGCCTAAGATGACCCCCTCACACACTAGTCATAGCGGTTGCAGACACGAATGAACAAACAGCCAGGATGTGACTTCAGGGTTTTAATTAACACTTTGCAGGGCAGGATAATCTTACAGGATAGATACTTTGCACCCATCCTTTACAAATACACCCAGATGCCCCTTTGCCATTTTTCCTTTTCCAAAGTAAACCTGAACGCACTCAAAAATAACATCAAATAGACCATAGATTCGCTTAAATATGTCCAATAAAATAAATTAATCCTCAAAACTAACACAGATGACATTTAGCAATAGGCCAGAGTCTGTGTACCAAGGATTTGCAATTTACTATGACTTTTTCCCTAGCAGAAAGCAGATTAAGTGTCATCATACCCTTCTCATTTCTATTCCCTGCACGTTGCTGAGGATTGCAATATATTTCTGTTGACATGTAGATAACGGCTAAACCAATTTCAGCTTCTGGAATAGCTCGCAATCCTTTACTGTAAAACAAGAGTTATGTTTAGTATTTCTTGTAACACAATTGAACAAGGAATGTCATAGACAAGAATCCACTAGAGTTTCATTGTGTTGAGTTATCACATAAATTGAACAAGACCCCGGTGAGCTGTAAGTACAATTTACATCACAAGCACTGAATCAAATACAAGGCTAGGAAATTGGAGAGGTCTTAAAGTAGATGAAAGTATGGCCTACCATCTTATCACTTTACTTTGCAGCACGAATAACAAATGTGCGCCCTTGATTTGTAGCTTTAAACAGGATGTTACAAATGTTAGTGATTTCAGCCCCTCTGGCCTTTCCTGTGCCCAGACAGGCACACTTTTGCTAATACATTTTTTAAAAGAGAACTATGGGGGAAACCCTTTTTTTTTGTCTGATGTGGCATACTGGGGGGGCTTATTTATCTGGTGGGATATGACCAACCTATAATCTGGAGCCCATATCTTTCGTTAAGGTGGAGGCGTCACATTGGGTGTCGAAGGACATGAACTGGAGAGACTGAAGTATTAATTTCAGTGATATTTATTTCACATTTGTGTTGGGAGACTTGGACTTTTGGTATAAAGAGTTGTGCATTTCATTATATACCCCTTGTGTATGCTTGTAATGAGATTACTACATTGTTTGAAGTTGATTATTGAACACAGAGCTGCATTAGTTATTGTCTTTTATTTCAACATGGAGGTTAGAATCAATAAGGACCCAGGTCACATTCAGTTAATAGAAGGTCCCTATCATCAATGTTAGACTATGATGATCTTGACAGAGGTACCATTTTGAGAGATGCCTACATTAGATGTAGCTTAAAGAGGACCTTTACACTCTAAAATCAAATTCCACCAATGCATCCCTCTATGTATGATGATTAATAAGGACGCTAGTTTATATCCTCCCGTGACCCTTAGGAGAACTATGGGGAAAAACACTAACCCCATAGTTCTCCTTTAAGCTTTGCTCCAGCCAAAAACATCTTTTTTTGTTTTGAGTAGAGTTTAGTTACAAAATCTGTTGGGTATTTACTGTCTGAGAGATTTTCCTACACTTTTTATACCTCTGACTCCAGGAGAAGAAAATGGGTGAAATGGGAGTTCCTATGAAGCTGGAATGTGTTACCATTGGAGAGAATTCCCATAACTTCTTGTTCCTCGATCTCCTGCCACCAGCACAGGAAGCAAGTTGAAATCTTCTCAGTGGGGACAGAGAGAAAGCACTAAATGCTAACAGAGGTTATATCTCTTCTCCACCCTGGCTACAGTTGGATTGTATTTTCTAAATATGGTGACTGACATAGGACTCTGATATGCAAGCAAGCAGGAAGAAAACACACACACACACACACCATTGTTGTGACAGATGCCAGCTTTTTTTTTTACTGCAATGTAAGCAACAAGTCTCTAACTAATCACAGCATGCAATCAAGACTCTTCTTATTAGGTTTATGAGAACATATATGGAATGCATCTCACCTTTCAAGAATATTCATGATAGATGTGACCCAGGTTGGGATCTGAGATTCAGAAAGCTGAGATTCTGACGTTCCCACATTGATTACACAAGTATTGGGGTTTTCTAGCAGATGTGTGTCATCCAATTCTCCCGCTAACAGACGAGCTTTGCCACCTCCAAAGCAAATTGTTTGGCTTAGTTTCTTGTGCTGCACAGAGTAAGATTATTTGTATAATAATCAAATAAGAAGAATCAGAAAAGCAGGGAAAAAAACACTTCAAAAGCAAGGCATGTACTTAACCATGAAAACAAATGTGTGTGCATCTTGTATTTTATACTTGTTAGCAACAGCAGCAGCTCTGTAACATACAGGCAATGTGGTCCTTGACAAAAAAAGCCAACCATAGACAAAGTAGAGATCAGAAGAAACAGGCTGTTCTGACGTTAAACCTTTGTTCACCTCAGAAATGTCACAGATGTTTCTGCAGATATACATTATGTCACAAGGAAAATTGATATACAGAATTGGAAATAGTGGTTGATTAGTGCCAATTCTATCTAAAGTGTCAGGTTTTTATCTGATGATGGGTCATGTCTGTTTTTTCATCTTGAACAATTGTTTGCACTGCACACAGATGCATTTCCTATACCGGGAAGCGTATTGTGTCTGCCACTGGCATGTGTATTTTACACAAGTATAACTTTTTTCAGCAGAGAAAATCCTTGATTATGGAGTGATCTTTTGTTGGAAAGATTGCTTGGAATTCATGAAAGCTCTGTCTTACAGGAAAACTTTCTTCAGAGACACAAAGGATGGGCACGGTCATTGCTGATGCCATTCTGATGGTACTACATGCGCCCTCTGAACTGAAAAAGTATGCATATCAGGAAATTCAGAGTAAAGTCAGAAGTCCTTATTTGCATATATGTGTCCCAAATAAGTGACAAAGGGGGTATCTATTGCCAAGAGGAGATCCTGCTATCTACTGTCCACCATACGCTAACCAAAGAACAGATGGAGCACAGAAGTAGCTGTAATGAGAGAATGGAAATACATAAAATATAGATTGCTGACTCTCACATGCAGTACACACCTGCTTGGCAGTCAAAAATAGAAAAAGTTTGTCTTTGAAAATAGTTTTTCTTTTTCCATTTTCTGAGAAATCCAATGAGTCAGTTTGTAGGGAAGGTTCATCAATTATTGGAATGAAGCTGCAGGAAAATAGACAAGGAAAATGGTTTTTAATATCGGTGTAGGGCTTTACACATACTAGAGGGACAGTCTTTTCTCTCACTCAAGGGAACACAACTTCTCTGCTAATCGGCTTTTTTTTTTGTGGCTAATCTTGTTTGGTTGCCACTCTGCTTAATCCCTATTGTTGCTGGCATCATTTGCTGAATGACCAAGGAAAATGTAGGCCAGTGTGCCCCCTGGATCCCTAAGCTGCCCTCTAGTTATTTTAGAGTTAATAAACCCCATAATAACCAAAAGTAAAATGTGATAAATATGGGTGCAGTGAACTACCGTACATAAAACAGACTGAAGGTAAACCAAGTGTACTTTCTGACTTCCTATCACAGCTACACTTCTTGGAAAGTATTAGCAGTTCATTAAATGATTTAACCTATTGCCTGCAGCTGTTTAAGCAATGATGTGACAAGGTCACTATGTCGCCCTGATGAAGGGAACCTGCGTGGCCCCGAAATGTTGGCTATCTGATATATGTGACACTAAACATCGATAAATGTATACACAGATGTGAAAACGATATCTTTTGAGTGCTGGTGATCTACTACATTCTAAAGCTTGAATATACACAGAGCCATCCGTGTTCATTACTACAAGCACCACATCTGCTAAAGGTTGTAGACGCTGAAAGGAGTGCAGGGGACACATCTGTACACTGTAGGCTAACTCAGTATGAATGCAACTCTCTCATGGTTGGTTGGAGTGTGATCCTTTAACCACTTCATGACCAGGTGTTTAGACCCCCTTCCTGGCCAGGCCATTTTTCAGTATTCAGCGCTGCGGTACTTTGACTGACGTTTATTCCGTCATGCAACGCTGTACTGAAATGAATTTTATACCATTTTTTGGGGACAGATAGAGCTTTCTTATGGTGGTATTTAATCACCACTACAGGTTTTTTTTTTACTATAATTAGGAAAAATTACTGAAAATTTTGGGGAAAAAAAAGGTTTTTTTTTACATTATGTTAGGAAACATTTATAATTAGCCCAGTTTTTGGGTAAAATTTAAAAGTCGGGGTCACGTCGGGTAAATAGACACCAAACATGTCAAGCTTTAAAATTGCGCGCACCCGCGACATCGCAGAGAACTACCATACCCAAAATTGGCCATAGGCGACACTTTAAAAGCTTTTACTGCTCATCAGTTTAGTGTTATCAGTGATTGATGGCCATAGACTTATTGCTCTCACTCCGACGTTCGGGGCGATATGTAACATGAAGACCGGAGGGAGCTCGTGTAACGAGCTCCCTCTGATCCCCTGTTACACAGGCATGGCGCTGATCCCGGGCTCGCAACGGGCACAGTGGAGCCCGGGATCAGCGGACAATGGCGGGGGGGACAGCGGAGGGGGCGCACCGATCGTTGCAACATACAAACGATCCGCCATGTTAACAGGCATGGCTGCCTGTTTTTAAATTTAGGCCATTTCCCGCTCGCGCACGACGAGGGGCCGTGTCTGAGCGGACGTCTAAAGACGTCCGTTCAGATCTAGAGAGCTCCTGGCCGGCCGTTTTTTTACTACGGCTGGCCCGGAGGCAGTTAAAAGAGAACTATGGCCAAACCTTTTTTGGTCATAGTTCTCTTTAAGGTCACAGGAGGACATTTACTAATGTCCTCCTGTGACCCAAAACTCAGCATATTGCAGGCTATTGCCCGCAATATGCTGACAGCCACACTGCAGCAGGGAAAGATCCCAACAATTGATTGACAGCTGGCTGAATCCCATTGAATTGATTGACAGCTGGCTCTGCCTCTCTAGAGCCAGCTGTATCCACCTCCTCCCCTGTCTGTCATTCCTGTCAGTGCTGGAAAATTGGAGAGGGGAGAATCCCTGCAGTGAGCGGTGGCTGACAGTCACCACTCTCTGCAGGGAAAAGATTGTGAACTGAGTGATCTGCGGTATGTGATCGCTCAGTTCTAAATCAATAGAGCAGACGTGTGACAACTTCAGTTTCACACGTCGGCTCTAACTATGTGGATGAGTAAATTTCACCCATCCCAGAGTGCTCCTTTAAAACAAGCAAAGTGATGGTAAAAGTACTGTTTAGGTTTTCATGAGAAGCTGATGATCATTACCTACATCTCACCCACAACACAGCTCAGTCTGCAGTTAAACAGTGCTCAGTGAAATACCTTGTAAGTGCAGGTAGTGCTTGTTTTTCTTTGATGGCTTTGATCATTTCACTAAAGTACTCAGGTGTCACGATGGATTTGCAGCAAATTAATGCACATATTGTCTGAAAAAATATAGAAACATTGATATAATGGGTAATGTCATTTCCATTTGTAATAAGATCACATAAAATATGTAGAAGGGCTTGTGTACATGGATGCAGTTTACCTGCATTTGATGCGAGTGTCAAACGCAGGTCAGCAGATTCACATTTACAATAATGCTACAGCGTGGATTACATTTGAGGCCATGCTTAACCTGCTTTGCACTACATTTTTCTGAGCACAGCAGGTCATATTGGAGATGTGTTTCCATTCCTGGCAAAGCAGGTCAAAATCAGTCTTTTGTGTTCGAACACATACATTTGAGCTACACTGTGTTCAAATGTAAAAGCCAGTGTTCGACAGCAACATGTTTCGTCAACCCTACAATAGACTAAACTGCAATGTGGAACATCTGCTACACACAACAAATGGTATGGAGCAGGAGAGGCTCCACATGTTATCCAGAGAGATCACCAGAGGCCTCCACATAGATTGTAAGCCCTCACGGGCACGGCCCACCTTACCATCTTCTCTTGAATTGTATTGTGATGTCTTCCTTATATTGTAAAGCGCTGCGCAAACTGTTGGCGCTATATAAATCCTGTATAATAATAATATAAAGAAAAGTGTTAAACCCTAGTGGAACACAACAAGGTGATACCGTCAGGTTTCTCTGCCCCCCATTAAAGACTTCACTAACTCTAGAGTCATAAGATAGCTGGTACACTCTTGGCTCTCCTAGTTGGGTGACCAAATCAGTACGTACATGGCACAGATCAGACATATTGTGAGATCCTCTTTCTAGAGCGGCTTTAGGTCTTAATTTATTATACATTTCCACTTTAGTCTCCTTTCCAGAAGCGCGGATTATCTATTTCTTATATATTGTGAGTTATATTAATATTTGACAGAGCAGCCAATAATTTCACGAGCTGCAAATGTTGCTAAGTCGATGAGATCAAAGCTTCCTGTAAATGGAAACGTTGTTTTGCCTGGTGCTGTCCAAAATAAGGGAGTACAAGGTTGTAGCACAAGGTCACTTTGTGGAGACTGGGGATAAATACATACACTCTATGGGAAAAAGTCAGAAGACTGTAGCACTTTGGGATCCAAAGAATATTATCGAGAGGATAACATAAACCGAGTTCGATGCCGACAGTGTGGGTGGGTAGAAGAAGTTTTATGCTATTAACCATAATCAAAGCTTAGGAAACACTCTTTTAGCTTCCCACAGTAATGACTGTACTATCGAAGAGGTCAATTAAAAATGTCTGCTTTCATTTTGGGGAGGGGGGAATAACAGGTGCACTGTCATTTTGCAAACATCCTCTGATATTGAAAGCAGGGAAATGTCAACCATGCAAATAAAAGCAAATGAAGTGGAAGGAAGTATGGAATCATTATACATATAAAACAAATCTAAAAATAATTTCAAGCTTGAGAACATCCAGACATGACAGCAGCTATTTGTGTTGCAGCTGCCCTCAATATGTGAATCAGGTCAGAGATTGAATTTCAGAAGGGGACCTGCTCATTATTTGGTGTGAAATATCCTTCGCTCAGCTGGGAAGGGAAATGTCAACAGAGGAAGCACATTACAATAAACAGAAGCTGATATCCGGTCAGGAAAATGCAATGTGTGTCTATTGTATCTGTGCCAGTGTATGAGCAGTGTCACGGTTAGAGAAAACATTTAACCCCTTTGCTGCCAGAGCAAATCCAAAATGTCATTTAGTGAATTTTAATAGCCAGTAACAAGTACATTTTCTCCTTTTTTATTGTATCCTTTTGGTTCTCCATTCCAGAACATTCCTTTAGTGTTAATAAGAAAGGGAAATAAAAGCTGCATTGTTAACTTGTTATTACATTACTGCCTCCATGCAGAGCTTGGGTAACAATGATGAGCTTTTAGTGGAGTTCGAATTCACATACTGTACACTTTCTATATATAGATACACTGCCTGGCCAAAAAAAGTCCTACACTAATATTTCTTCGGATCGCCTTTACTTTTGCATTCGCCATGGCATGGTTAAAATAAGCTTATGCAATGTCACAACATTTATGACCGTCCAGAATTGTATTATGTTTCCACCAAGATCTTGTAGTGATGATGGGAGAGTCAGACCACTGTGTAAAGTCTTCACCAGCACATCCCAAAGATTCTCAATAGAGGTTGATGATGACTGCCTGCTCCCCCCCAAAAAAAAGTCACCACCATAAGTGTTATGATCTAGGGTTGGTCAGTGAGTAAAGCCTATACTATAGTGTCCCCTGAATGACAGTTCTGAGTCTACTGGAGCTACTGGCATGATATCAAAGATATACATAAAAGGTAGCAGCCAAGTGCTTTGGAAAACAGAAGCCATGCTGACCTATCTTGTGAGGACACGCTTTCTGGCTCTCAGCTTCTCCAAACTTGCCAAATTCCCCCCTGGATTGAGCTCTGTCTTAGGTCGGGTGAGTGGGAGTAACCACCACCCACTTACTACCTCTTAAAAGTAAAGTGTATAGTCCTATATTAGGCACTACTAGTGTAGTGGTGAAAGAAACATGGGGCCTGCCATTGCTGACCTCCTGAAAATGCCTGCTACCTGGCTGCCAAGATAGACAAATAGCAATGTTGGTTCAACCACCTGAGGTGGAAAATGGGGCAGTGAAAAGGACGGAGCTGCCTACAGCATTTTCTTTTCTAACTTTCTTACTGCAACACATACCTTGATAGTCACTTTAACTGAGGTCATAACCAGATGAGTAGATTTCTCTGTCCAGTTGTTCACAATATGGCCACCAAGTAGCTGCATTGCTTGGTTTAAAGAACTCTTCTCTGAGCTGCTTAAACAGGACGAACAAGTCACTAAAGATTCATACATCACTCTGGATAAGGAGAGAGGAAAAAAAAAAAGATATGACATAAATGCTGAAGTCATGTCATGGATAGATGAGCCTCGCTGGCTCTTAGGAAGAATTGTTAAATATTAAAATGCCTTAAGGGGTGGATGCCAGTCTGGAGGAGTGGGCATTCCTAGGCAGGCTGTATTTACATGTAGACCTTCATAGGCAACACCCACATGTAATGCAGAGTTTCTAGAATTAAAAAACTTAAATCCAGTGAATGAAAGGGTGAGCCAGGAACAGGGAGGTTACTGAGAAAAGCGCTAGATCAGCCTTTCTCAACCAGGGTGCCTCACAATTTTGACATTAGAAAATGAATACCTGAATTTGCTATTATATACTCCAAATGTAATCTTGTCTCCGGAGTTCAAGTTCCTAGAAATAGCATTCTCCATCCTTTCACCATTAACAAAGGTGCCATACTTTGAAGACTCCTTAAGAGACAGGACAGGAATGACGTCTGGATGTCCCTGTACACAGAAACAAAAAGTTAACAAAGAACTAACTTAAAAAGTGTATGCCTGGGCAGAAAAAAAAGTCAGTACATCTCTGCAATGTGTGTACATATACCTATGTTTTGTCTCTTTCAAAAAGCTACCCGTACAGAAAAAAATAAAAATAAAAAATGGTGATCTGCCGGAAATTTAGCATGCTCCAAACATCAAGGTGCCTCTGGTACACTGCAATCATCCCTGTCCTGTTCTCCCTGCTGAGCTAAAAAAACACCTTGCCCTTATGATATCAAGATGAGGGGATGGGGGAGTATTGTGTAGTCCAGCAGGGAAGAACTCAGACATGGCTGATAACACTGCATTAAGAAGTTCAATAACCTCTGCCAGTCTGAAACAGTGTTATTAGGCCTGGAATTGATTAGAAATCTACCCAACAGAAGACACACAACAATTATAACCCAGTAGTGGTTTTCACACATCCCCTCACTATGCAGAGCTGGAAAACAGTTTTTGATTAATCTTGCCCTTACTTGGAGGCTAGGCATGGCCATATCCTAACGCTCCATATGAATGAACAGAATATTAAAGAAGTGCACTAACAGTGCCAGCAGCAGGGTGCAGAAAAGACTTTAATGGGGAGACCTCCCTATTAGTCAAGTAGACAATATGTCACCAGAAGACCTATGAATCTTCATCTAATAACATCTTTATTGATGTTCATTCAGGATATCAGAAAGATGAACGTCAACAAAAGGTGTCTATGGAGGAAGATTTATAGGTGTGTTGGTGACATTTTCTACTAAACTTACTGCAGCACCTGGAAAGAGGGGGTGTACCGGTTAGGTGTGTAGTGGGGAGATACAACCAGCTGGACCAACATACACTGACAGAAATCTGTGGCCGTAGTTCAGCTTTAAAAGGTATCTACACCTGAGAGCTAATATATAATACACTGCATCTTACCATTCATTGGATTTAGTGGCTGTATTGGTTCTCTTTTTTTTATCCTATATTTCTACCTGGTAATCCTGACAGCAACTCTCTTCCTGTCCTAGGGCGACAACACTCACTCACCATACTGTATCTGCGGAAAGGCAGCATTAACAAATAAACAAAAAAGATCTGTCAGTGATGATGCAAAAAAAGGTGAAAAAGAGCTACTAAGCACTAAAATGATATCTGATATAATACAAAATATATATATGAAATAATGTGCCGAGCTGAAGAAACAAACGTTGCGGTGCACATAACGAAATCGCATTGTTTGGATTTATTATCTGCACCGCAACGTTTGATTCGTTTTGGACTTTATTTCACTGTGTATGTTATGTGGTTTGCGTTCAGCCTATAACCATCATTGTATATTTCCATGTTTACATTTGATGGTTTCTTCAGCTCGGCACATTATTACATATATATGGAAAGTCAGCATTGTCACCCTAGGACAGGACTACGGAGTACCTCCCTATCTTCAAGCAAGTTCGGCACAGACAGGGAACACAGGAAGTTTTCATCTCACAAAAGTTCTGTTGGAGTGGATACAGCAAACCTTTTTTTTTTTATAGAATATTTAAAGAAGAACTCCAGTTACAAATCTTATTACCCCTTGCAGTGGGGCTACTCCCACACTGCAAGGGTTACGTGCTCAAATCTGTGTAGGTACTAAAAGTTATACTCATCAGACCATCCGAGCCCCACTGTAAGGGTGAATACATTTTTTTCCCTGTAGTCCGTATTAAAAAGCGACCAAAAGAGAGGACAAAAAAAAGTGTTCTTCTCCTAGAACTCACCAGACTGGAGAGGGGGTGGCTGACAGAGAACGATGCATGAGATCTGCTGATGGACTGATCATCTTCAATCAATATTGAACAGTTCTTACGTCCCACTACATAATCAGTGCCACTGAGAAAGTAATACAGCTGTCCTGGGGAGAAGAAGACAAGTCACAGTCACAACATAGAATACCGGGATTTACATCAAATCATCTTAATCAAGAACGCATTACACCGCAGACTGCACTGGAAAATAACACTTGATGAACGAAAGTTTGAATCTTATTGGTGGCTCAGGGCAGGGCCGGATTCCCTGTCGCTCCGTGTGCACAGTGAGAGAGCTGTGCTCTTCCAAACTCTGGGAAAATGCAAACCATTTTTATTTGATATTCTGTTCTCACTGACATTTATGGAAGCTGTTTAAAACAAAAATTCTCTAACAGTAAGTGTGACAAAAGGCAAAGGGATGATGCAACTGACACGTGGGCGATGTCTCCACTTCCTGTCCATTGGTCATATATAAAAAAAAGAAACGGATATTTAATGTATAACTGCCTTCACCTTGATTCTAAAAGCAGCAGCCATTCCTCCCCCCTTTTTTCTTTCCCCCCCCCTTACTTCAATACTTTGAAGGCAGGTTCACAAAATTTCCGGACCAGAAAATGGTGTGAACCTGTTCGCATTTCCAGTGCATTCCAGACCAGACAAAATGAAAAATGCAGTATTTTTCTGGTCTGGTCTAGACTGCGCTGGTGTGAACAGGGGCCAGAAATAACACAGGAATACATTAGGCTGCATTTTGGGTCCGGAAACAATCCGGTATGGTCTGGAGATGATCTGGATGTGGTGTGAATGAGCCCTGAGTCGCTGAGCAAGGACAATGCAGATAAGGACTTCTGACTTTTTCCCCATTTCCCAGGTCAGCATTCTTGTTCTGGGCCAGCGACTCAGACTATTATAGTCTGTGAACCATCAAAACAACCATGAAATGAGCATTTTCAGTAGGTGGTCAACAAAAGCAGATCCCACATATTCTTATCAGAACACTATTTCTTTAAAAGGTAACCTACCGGAAAGATAAACAAATAAGCTATAACATGCTCACTGCCATAGGACACCTTGATATTGGTAAACTGGCTGTTGTGGTTCCTGTTTCTTCTCACTTAAAGGGCTCAGGGACACGGCTGTACAGCGTTTTTATCAGTACAGCATCTTTTTTTTCAGATCTAAACGGCAGGAATTTTTTTTTCTATGGATTAATGCCCACAGCTGCGGAAAGATCAGTAAACTTGAGCTGCGTTCAGAGCTGCAAAAATTGAAAAACCTGTGTCTGGGGTCCACAAATTTACACATGTAGGCATATAAATGCATGTACATGGACACAAGTATATTTAAAAGGGACAATAAACTCAGGAGTTAAATCTAATCTTTAAAAAAAAAATGTAAGTACCTTAACTATTAACAACTATTGTATCTTATTTGTGTATCACTCGGCTGTAGATCCTCAAATCTTCTCTGAATTGGTGCTGACACTGTCCTTACTTCTGGAGGGTGGCTACTTTTGTTCCCCATGATCCCTGTGTGTGTTGTAAAGTAGCAACCTCACTACCGTGATGGACTACAATCTCACCTTTAGTTTTCCAATTTGTATTGGAATCATAAATTATCATGGGAGCGAGCTGCAGCCTCGTCTGAAATTCAGAGGTTTCAATCTGTAGCACCATCTAGTGGTTGAAGTTATAACTGCCTTTTAGAGTTTCATAGGCTTGCACACGTCTAATGGTTTTGTTAAGTGCTATTAAGAAAGTGCTCAGCTCCAGCAAGATGCTTGAGCAAAAGACCTTCCACAAATCTGTTCCATTGACCTTGCTCCGAATTTCCAGTACCAGTTTATGATACCTGTTTCATTCTGCTGTACACCTGACCTTTAACTGATTTGGGACAGACCTGATCTCTAGCTTGTCTAGACCAGCATTTCTCAACCTTTTACTTTAAAAGCATGCAAAATGTCGAGGCACCCCAATCAAAAATGTCAGAGGTTTTAAAGGGGGGCCCCCAAGCAAAAAACACACCAAAAAGTGGGTTTCCTCCTTCACATCAGCCTTTGTAATAGTAGCCCCCTTTCACATCAGAGTTTCCCTTTTACATCAGAAGCCCTCTTCACATCAGTCACAACATTTTGAGGCACCCCAAAGGAGGCCAGGAGGCACACTAGCATGCTACAGCACCCTGGTTCGTAAAGCTTGTCTAGACTACAATCTCATCTCTCATTCTGTATTTGTCTTGTTGTTGTCAGCTGTTGACAGTCCTGATGTATCTGTATACAATTGGTTGAATTGCTAAGGGGTATATTCACAAAGCTGTACAACCTGCAGTACCACATTTCAAGACCACTGAAGCAAATCATCAAGCTGGTGACATTTTCTGCTTTCTTCAACCTCAACTGCTAATCTAGCCACATAATAGCAGCATATGTGCATGTACATGGTGACTGGCACACAGCCATGTAATAAGCAGCACATGAAGCCCTGAGAATACTATTGCTCCAAGTACAGTACTCGGTTCAAATACAAGAACAAATACTGATACTTTTCCAGTTCCAAGACTAGACTGGAGAAAAACTCAAAAATTAGGAGGCAGCTGTCATTTTTAAGGAGCATTGGCTACCAGGCTCGTGGGATTTGTGCATCCCTTTTTAATGTATGATTTGAGATATATATATATATATATATATATATATATCATTTGTTTTTGTTTTGTTTTTATTTATTAGGGATGCACTGATACCATTTTTTCCATGCCAAGTACAAGTACTGATACTTGTCCAAGTACTCACAGATACCAATTACTGATACGTTTTTGTTTGTCACGTGACAGTTTATCTAAAACAATACAGACTAATGATTTCAGGACAATGGTGGAGCGTCAGAGCCAGGTACCAGCTGTAACCGCTGCAACCCTGGTAGTTCTCGTGTAAATGCCAAGTATCAGCACTGGTATCTGAACATCCCTACTTTTTATTTAAACTCAAAATGTAACTGTGCTGTGTAAAGTATATAGCAGGTACTTTATTACAATCACTGCCCCATCCTCCCTGAATATTCTATACAAAATTTGGGGCTTGTTCTCCCCACATGACAGTGCCCAGGCCTGGCAATAACCCGCTCATACCTGGAAGTACTGCTACCCCCCTTTTATTCCCCCCCAAAGAGGTGCTAAAAAAAAAGAGCAGCAGCATACGCAAAGCAACACTTACACTAAACATTATATCGACTTTATACAGACCTATGATTTCAGGACAGCGGTGGAGTGCCAGAGCCAGGTCCAAGCTGCAACCCTGGTAGTTCTCGTGAAAATGCCAAGTATCGGCACTGGTATCTAAGCATCCCTAACAGCAATGCTTAATGCATACATCATGCAAATATTGACCCCCCCCCCTTAACCACATAGCTTGTGTCCTATTAAATGAACTCTGAAAACAGATGAGGTGCATGTCTTTACCTTAAAACTGCCCTTGAAGTGGTAATAACACAGACAGTTGAATCAGGAAACACAATACATTTTCCTGCATTTGATTTAATATCTGCAATTATATCACTTAAGTGGATATTCTACCATAAAGGATGGCATAACCAAAACAATCATAGCATTTCTCTCTGACTTCCACTCACAATACAACCTACAGCTCAGAGAGAAAAAAAAAACTTTTACAATGTAGTTTCAAATAGAGTAAAAAGTAAAATGTTTATATTGCCTGTGCTGTTTTATATTTAAGTGTAGCTGAATCAGCTGCTGGAAGCAGAAAAGGCCCTTCAAATACACAAGGAAAGAACGGCTTTCTCACTTCACTAGGACAATTATTGCCATAGGAGGACATGATGGAATTAAGGAGACCGCTTATCTGGATGCAACAGAGATGTCAATTATAACCTTATACAATGTAAGTAACATGATAGTCTAATGGAGAACTAAATTAAGAACATGAACAGTATACATTTCGAGACACAACTTTGTTTGAAGCAAAAGAAATCAGCAGTTGGACAGCAACCAAAACTCAGATGCCAACCATGGGAATTATGGCCTCCCTTATCCAATACTTCTCATGCAGAATGATCAATAGTGACAGATGCATTTAAAGGAGAACTATGAGGTGAGTGATTTCCACTCTTCCTCATAGTTAGAGGCGACGTGTGACATAGAAGCTGTCACAGGTTGGCTCTATTGATCGGGAAGAAACCGAACACATGCCAACGCTCGCTCACCTCCCGTTCATCTCCCTGCAGTGAGCGGTGACTGTCTCCTCTCCTCGCACGGACTCCCCCCCCTCTTTCCAGCATTGAGTGGAGGGACGGATGGTGGAGGAGACAGATGGTGGTGGGGTGGGGAGGGGGCGGGCAAACCTGGATCTGCCTCTAGATAGGCAGAGACAGCTGTGTGGATCCAGACAGTATGGTCGGGATCCGTCCCGGCTGCGGAGCTCTCAGTATATCGCAAGCAATAGCCCGCCATATACTGAGCTTAGGGTCACAGGAGGAGGTTAGTAGATGTCTTCCAGTGACCCTAAAGAGAACTATGGGGAAAACACTTACCCCATAGTGCTCTTTTAATTTTCCTGTTTACCTGCAGCTCCCCTCCTAGGCCTAGCAGTGCTCGTGTGTGGGGTAGTATTCAGGAAGATGACATGCAACTGCCCAATCAGTGATTCTGTTAACCAGTACTTTAAATTGCAAGTTATTCGAGCAAAGATTCACATTTCAAGCATTGTCATACTCAAATCTAGCATACACACTGGCCAATTTATGCCACCCCAATGCAGACAAAATAATTAGGAATACAGGAGCCAGAAATATTTGATTTTTATGCCAGCTCTATTGACATCTAGAGAAAACCCCCAGCTGTAATTTTAAGAGCCATTGGCTACCTGGCTCCTGAGATTTGTCCTCTTTTGGGTCAAAGGAAGCATTTACTAAAGTCCTTCAGTGACCCAAAGTCAGCATCGAGCGGCCTACTGCCTTCTATTTGCCGACAGTGCAGACCCACTCTGCAGCCGGGAAAGATCCCGACAATATTGTCCGGATCCACCCCGGTGTTTGATTGACAGCTGACTCTGCCACTCCAGAGCATCAGCCAGCTGTGCCCGCCCCCTCCTCTG